TCCATATTAGTATACAAAGAGAATAAAACAAAGTAAAACCTCTCAAATTGTGCCAAAAGCCAAGGACAAAGGAGGAATTTAAGAAGGGACTTAAAAACAGCAAGAGAAGAGGCCTGTCTTATACTCAGAGGCAGATCATTCCACAGCTTAAACAGTAGTGTATAGGATTTCCTAAAAGCACGTTCACGAGTCTACGGAAACCGCGGCAGACCAAACCAGACGAAAGTGCGCATTCAGCTCGGCAAAGAACTCATGCTCTTCCTCAACACTGAAGTCCTCAGACATTTTTCTTTCGTTGTTTCTTTCTTTGCACAGGTAAACAGCACATTTCTTCTTCTACGCTTGCATTATCGGCAGAGCAGACGCTGAATGCGCACTTTCATCTGGTTTGGTCTGCCGCGGTTTCTGTAGACTCGTGAACGCGCTTTTAGGAAATCCTATACACTACTGTTTATGCTCTTAAAAACATTCTAAATGACTTCGTTTCGAGTAAATTATGGACGCTACCCACTCAGGACACTTGGAATACATTGGACGAGCAGCATGGAGGAATATTGACACGTTTTTTGTGGACTTTTATGGACCTTTCTGCCTCGGGCGCCATAGACCTCCATTATTGAATGTCAGCAGACAGCAAGAAGCTTCCCAGATCTCCAGATGCATTTGAGATATCAAAAAAGTACTCCAGAGTGTTGTTCAGCATGGGGGTGAGTAGAAAATGAAGGCTAATCATGTTTTGGGTGTACTATTCCTTTAACCCTTTTAGATAGGGTTCAAACCCCACACCACTACACAATTAAACACATTAATGTCAGTTAAAATGGAATGCTTTGACTAGGTTGTAACTGCTTTGAGTAAGGAGGTTTTCCTCTGTTTATGTTTATGCTGTCTGCCTCAGGCATTAGTGAAACAAATGAGACCATGGCTGAATGTGCATCCTAACCCCTCAATCACTATATTTAGCCGGGACTTTATAGTGGACTCTATAGTGACTCAGTTAGCTGGCCACTTGGACAGATGATCACTACTATCTGAATGGTCAGTAGTGATGCCTGTGCCATATTTGTTTCTCGACCCCACAAAAAAATGGCGTAACCACTATGTATGGCTGTATATTGGGGTTAGGACGGACGTTCGGACACAGCCCATGATGATGAGGCAATACTGTAAGGCTACTGCAACTTGGTGATTGTGGTAGTCACAACTTAGTTAATACGTTTTGGAGTTGGATTGTGTATTGGATTCGTTTTTATTCAAAAGTGACAACACCAAATCGCTTTTGTAGTTGTAGCTATACACTTTGTATACACTTATTCCTACTCGTGATTTCTGGTGCTTCTTTGTGTTTGATTTCCATAAGTGCAAAAATCATAAGTATAATGTGCAATTTAAGGGCTGTGATTGTCTAATTTTGGCTTGACACCTCTGATTTAAAAACACTTCCAGAAGTTAAAGTTAACTGTGACTATGGATATTATGCTGAAGATCAGCCCACAATACAGGAAACATTTCATTTTTATTCTAGACATTTCTGAAATAGAGCTATAATCAGAATACCATAATTCCATGAAATCTGCTATGTTTTTGCTTAAAGTTACACCATCAGTTCATTACAGTCATGCCAATTTAAAAGGGTTGGATCCCCAACTGTTTGGGTCATGTGACCCAATGCATTGATTTATGGTAGTCTGAGCTCCTTTCAACACAAAACCTAAACTGAATGTTGTTAGAGGGGTACATATTTCCTCGTCTTTCCATTTAAAGACACCAGATATTAGTAATTAATCAGTTCTAAATCATTTATCTGCAATTCAAACAATATAAAAATAGGTTTTGTAAAAATATAGATACCATTAAGGAACTCTGTAAATGTAGGGATCAGCATCATGCTGATGACGGTTTGTACAGGACTTGATATAATATTCTCTGATAAACAGTGATTTTGGGAAAGGCGTCTTAAAAAATGATGTATACTCTGCATGAAAAAAATCTAATGTATTGAATTTATTTGCAAAGCATCTTAACCTAGCAAGACATACTATAATGTGTAGTTCATCTTTCCTGAATACTTCCGTACAGATTATCTTTATTTTCTTCCTTAGGTGACTCTTATTTGTCTCATATTGAACTTATTGTCAGCTATCTTCAAAGGTGAAAACTGGTTTGATAATTATTCAATCTAATCAAAGTAATTTCTGCTATAATTTGCCGCAAACTGGGTGTGCACAGTTGCTCAGTTTGGGAAAAAATAGTTGGTAAGGACAACAGAAGCCATTTCTCTCAACACCAACAGGTTTGGGTTTTTTTTGGCATCATAATCCACTGATTGTGAAGCACAGCATGTAGAAGCCTGTGCCTCTGCTTGTGATGATCGGCTTCTTTTTTGGACAACAAAAGGCGAAGAGGATGAGAGCAGTCTGATGGTCTGAGGTAAAAGCAGAAGTCTTTTTAAACTTCATACTTGGTTAGAAATCTGCTGAAAAGTGAACAAAATGTCCCTCTAAGCTTTTCGTCCATGAGCGAAGAAAAGCAAAGTGCATTTCTTTACCTGAGAAATGCACTTTACTGGGTGAGAAATCTTGTGGAAGTGCAGTTATCACCAAGAGCTCTTCTCAGTCATAAATACTAGAATAAGCGTACTCAAACTTGAGATAAAAAAAAAATCCTCAGTTTCCTTAACTGTCCATTGAGTATGCAGTTAGCAAAACTTTTTTCTACTCATAATAGCGTTTTATTTTCTTTTTTCTTTTGTCAGGATATTGCTTGTCAACTGTGAGACAAATGGATGCTGTGAGGGTGGCTGTTGGGATTGCATAAAGGAACTGTGTGTAAAAACTGGATTTTAGCCAGTAATCTTTTTCATAAAAAACCCTGCCCACACTTCTTTGTTCTCTTAAATTGCTTGCTGTAGATCTGTTGTGGAATATTATTGAAGTATTTGACCTATCCCTTCTTTGTTCTACTTTTAATGGAAATAATTACTTTTTCAACAGCAATTCAACTTAAGGCAAGGTATTGGAAAATCTTTCAAGTAAAACAAACGGTGCTGCTCTTTCATTAATAACTCGGTTAAAAAATCACTATCAGTAAACCATAACATGTGAACAAATCTTGTGTGTTTTAACTCTTTGCACAGAACTGCAGGTACCTTAAATTAGGGAATGTATAAATAGATTAATTCAAAATGATAAACAATGGTACTTAAATGTAACTGCATTATATACTGTTTTCTATAAAGGACTGCTTACTGAATTTTAGCTTTGAAGTTCCAAAAACATCTCCTGCTTTTTCAACATCTTGATTACTTCTTATAGAAAGTGTTACAAAATGTATGTTTTCTCTTGAAATATTCATTTTTAATGCTAATCATTGACAATAATTTATTGCAATGTTTCTCAATGCGTTCACCAAATACTAAAAGGTATATTGGAGGATTTCTGCACATTTTTGAATCACCCACCCTCTACATAAAAAAAAAAAAATCCACAAGACTGTACCCGCTCCCGAGAGGGAACACCTATTATATGTATCTAAGAGCGTGCACAAGCCAATTTGTCCTCATGCACACTTTTTTTTAAAAGTTGCTGTTTGCATCGCTCATACTAGCATACTTTACAAAATAAGAAAGAAGATTTGCACCTTTCCACTATGTCAGAACGGTAAGTGCAAATGGAGACGGGCATGTAGGATGGTCTTACGTAAACATACATGAATCACCAGAGCAGAGATGGCAAAAGTACTCACTTTCCGTACTTGAGTAAAAGTACAGATACTTGTGTTAAAAAATACTCTGGTAAAAGTGGAAGTACTGATTAAACTTCTTTACTCAAGTAAAAGTAACAAAGTACAGGCTTGTAAATTTACTTAAAGTATAAAAGTAAAAGTAGAAACCACTTTTTTCATGCCATTACCTACATTTTAAATGGATGTCTGCCAATAGGACTAGATCTCCGTTGTGTTCATTTTCAATCATCTCGTCATCCATACTACTATGCTAACGCCACCGCCACCAAGCTGCAATGATTTGCCGGGAATGAATACCGCCGAATCTGTCGATTCATCTTGTAGTGGTGCGTCAAATGCAACGTAGATTCCCATCCAATTAGATTGAATTTGGTATTTGTGAGAAAACGGCTCACCAGCTCCCGTCTCACGTCAGAGGAGGAGTAAGCAGATGACTTGCAAAACGGTGGTAAGAACCAGCGGACAAAAAAATTCCAGTTCAAAAGCTTGTAGCGGTTTATTTACTGGTGCAACGGTGAAGACAAAAAAAAAAACAAACAAACAAAATACTTTCAAATAAAGAAAACAAAACCGGCCATTGCAGGCAATACAAAACACTGACAGCCTCACAGCATGCTGACTTTAAATATAGTCTCTCCAAGCAGACCTTCAAAAGCAGTTTCTCCAACCAGTCTCTCCAAGCAGCCCCCCTAAGCCATTGTGAGTGTGCCCCTTAAATAGACCCACCAATAACCAGCCAATTGGGACAGCCCAACTAAACAGAAAGGCAAATCACCAATAAAGCACAGTTAACATTGTAGAAAAATAAATACAGACAATAGCATCATTCATACAAAAACATACATATTTATGAAATAATTTAACCATACTAACATTACCAATTCACCTACTTATTACCATGCAAACAGTTATTACATACATGGAAATCCCAGTTAACACCCCTGCCCCCTAATAGTCTTTTTCAATGCCCTGGGACAATGGATAAGAGACTGGCACCGATGCGGTACGTGTTTCCACACGGACCAGTATGCTGACGGACTAAGGGAAGAGAATGTGTACAGTAATTTCACTGGGAAGTTTTATTGCCGACTATGGAATGTATATTAAAGCTGTCGCAGTGGGTACCTTCAGAGTTTGCTACGCTGGTGAGTAAGTAAAGTGTTGAATGAAAGGTGACGTTGTAATTTCGGAACTAGTGTAAATTACTGGGTGAATTGTTTGGAACTGCCGCCGCCATGACGGCCGGTCTGTGGTGCATGCTGGGAAATGTAGTGAAGGATGTGACGCTGTGCGTGATAGACGGCGGCTACACTTTAGGAACAGAGGGGGAAAACGGCTCCGTTTTCACAGTGACGTGAAAAATAATAACGGTAACTCCATTGAAATGATTCAAAACTAAAGTAACGAGCCAATTTTTTAAAATGTAAGGAGTAGAAAGTACAGATATTTGTGTAAAAATGTAAGGAGTAGAAGTAAAAAGTCGCCATAAAAATAAGTAGTAAAGTAAAGTAAAAATATCAGAAAAATCTACTTGAGTACAGTAACGAAGTATTTGTACTTCGTTACTTCCCATCTCTGCACCAGAGGGATTTAGAATTAGGAGGACCACTTATTTTGATGATCCACCCGAAAAAAGACCATCCTCCATTTAACCATTAGATGAACTCATAATTCACATAGAGCTGCTGCCCCTCCTCTTGGAATCAGTCTTTTGGGATGGTACAGGTGGCTGACCATTATGTCCTCTTTGCTTAGAGGTTTTTCGGGTAATATCCCACAGTATACCATTAGGTTAGATGGATCATAACTCAATACTGTATGAGAAATTGCAGATTTGCCACACAGCTTTTTTAACATGCCCCAGGTTAACCTGAATGTTCTCATCTAGAGCTTGGTGTCTGCATGTCTTGTTGTTCACATGTTTTTGTTCTGAGAAAAACAAAACAAAAAAACAGATCCCTTTCTCATCCTCAGAGGTCAGCATTTGATTCAGGGTTTAAATATAGCTGCTGAGTGCTGTGGTAGTTTGCGATAGCTGTCTCCAAAGCGACCATCTTCTCACTTCCCACTCTCTGACACAGACAAAAAGCATCTGTGCAGAGAGGATGCTTCAACCTTGCAATCAAAGCAAAGTACATCAAAAGTATCTTCTTATTCAGAACAAAGTGAAAAACATGTTTAATGCTTCATATTTGCACTGATAAACAGACAAGCATAATCCACGGTAGTGCTTGCTTATCCTGTGAAATGCTAGCACTGTGTAACCAAATACAGAGGTTTCATTCAAATAGCAGTGTGTTGTATTTCAGAGCAAATATTACAGAGATATACATTACTCTGTATAAAAACTCCCTAGATAATGGAACATGATTTTGATTGAGAAATGAATCCAGTTTGAAAGCGAAGCTTGGGTGAAAGGTTTTATTTTTACTCGGCATAACTAAAAGTCCCTAAAAAAGAAAGAAAACACTTGTAACATTGATTAGATTTAGTCAAAGTAATATCTGAGATTGAATAAAAGGTTTTCAGCCTCCACCACTCTGCCTACACTTTATAAGATTCATTGTTCATGAGTGAAATTTGACAAATAAATAGTAGTGATTGGATCAGGCTTGATAAATTAGAACAGTTTCTCAGTCTCTCTTCTCTATGATTCTTTATCTGTTCAGATTGAAGACATTATCAGTCGCATCCAGGACGAGACAGACGGTGTTCCAATCAGAACCGTCAAGAGTTTCATGACAAAGATCCCCAGTGTTGTTACAGGTAAGATTGCAGCAAGGAAAGCATGTTGCCGCAAAGTGCCAGAAATGACAGTGTTGTGATGGAGACTGTGTGGTACCCCTGTAGTGGCACATCAGTGAAAGACATTGAGTGTCTGGTGGACAAATGATTGAAAGACAAAAAAAGACTTCATGGAGAATGGTAATTTCTTTGGGTTTTTTTTTTCCTGAGAATTTCATCAGATTTAGCTTTTAAGCTTTTGCTCCCAGTGTCTGAGATGACATGTTTCATTATGTTTGGATGTGCCATCATTAGTTGATCTTCTAATTATACATACTCTATTCTCTATATTATAGCATTTTATGGCAAAACTGACACATATGCTAATTTCCCTTCGTTAGGTAATCTGGACTGTACATCTTAAGGTAACATCTTAATACTAAACTATGATACTGTAAGGTTATATTTAGGTCTTCCAGAAAAACATTTTGCATCCCTAGAATAAACAAAGATCGATCTGGAAATGTTCTGTAAAATAAAAATGGAGAGCCCTAAAGGGTGATTTTGAATGGCCAGTATTTGTATAGTGCGTTTCCAAGTCAGGAGACTTGACCAAAGAGCTTTACACTACATTCAGTTATTCACCCATTCACTAACACACTGATAGTTGCAAAGTACATTTTAGCCACAGCTGCCCTGGGGCTCACTAGCAGAAGCAAGGCTGCCGTACATTGGCGCCACCGGGCCCTCTGACCACCATCAGTAGGCACTGCAGGTGAAGTGTTTTGCCCAAGAACAGAACGACATTGAAAGCCGGAGCCGAGGCTCGACCCGACAACCCTCCGACTGCATAGCAAACTCCTGCACCCGATACAACTGTCGCCCTTTTGCATGTATTCAGTGTTGAAACTATACATAGGCGGTCGCATCCTTATTCCTCTTTGATAAGTTTCCTTACTTAAATAATTATAATAAACTCATGGAATTTAGGAGAGATTTCACATTACTGTTTAAACATTTAAAAAAAAATTAAGTTATTAGTAGAAAATGATTGTGAAAAAGACCTAAGAAGTCTGTTAAAGATTAATCCCAGAGGTGGAGAAGCAACAATGTTCGTTTTTTTTTTTTTGAAAAAAAAAAAAAAAAATCCTCAACTTCTGTGAAGAAAATCAATTTCCTGTTAATAATTTTGTTTGTGAAGTCAAAGAAAACTGTGCTGTCACAAAGTTATGATGTTACGGAAATAATAGTTTAGGAAAAAAACTAAAGACGGTTTGTAGACTATATTACTTTTTAAGACGTTTTGTCAAACTACGCCAGAAATTTGTACAGTTTTCAAAAGGATTCTTATTAGTTTGATCTAATCCAGAACTGTGCTTTACATTATCGATACTGTGATTTACTCATCCCAGAACAGCCAAGCTGTTTTAGGATTGTTGTTGTACTGCCTTATTAATAAAAAACATGGCAAGTTTTCAAAAATAACAACCCAAGTTGTTTTGTTGTTTTTGTTTTTTTTGCTCAGACATTTAACACCAATTTATACCAAACATTTCCTCTCACTCTTCGTTGAGTATTTCAATATACTTGCAATTTTCATTTGGGACCACAAAATTCTTTGATATTTCTTTAAGTGATTCCTTTACCTGGAAGCTTAGGCAAACAGCATAATGGGTCTCTGTACCTTATACTGCACAATCAGTACGGGGCAGCAAAATTAATATACCATCAAAACAGATAATGGAAGGAAAAACTGAACTACTGAAATAAGAAAAAAAGATCTCAGCAACAATGAAATGCAACAAAAAACATCCAATGCGTCTGGCTGAGTCACACCTTTGTGCTTTAGTTACGTTTCACTGTGGTTCAGTCAATACTCTGTACCAACTTCAAGGCAAAATATCTGCATAACTAAAAAACGAGGTGGGAGGACAACATACAATTAAGTGTTTGGAGAAGAAAGTGTGAGAGCAGGAAGGGAATGAGCAATGTCCTCTTATCAAAGGACCCTTAAGCAAGGCAATCAAATTTCATCTGCTTTAGTGCTGTCAGTGTGTTGCTGTGCATGCTGATAAAGGATTAAAAATATGCTTAAGAAACAACAATCTTGAGAAACTGTGATAGGTATGAACACTATGTTGGCCGCCTTGTCTATAGTCTATGATTGAAAAATGCAGCAAGGACACATTGTGGGAGGCTAGGAAACGTCTTAAACAAAGCTTTGTAACATTCCACCGTTTTTCTGTCATTATTCAATGCAAGATGTATCATCGAATATTACCACAATTACCACAATATTGGATTAATGTGCAGACAAGAAGCTGAAATGTTAGCATCTGTTTGCTTGAGCCTGGGAAATAAATGAATGATGGCGAATTAAACAGCATCTCATTCAGGAGAGCAGCAGGGAAGCAAAAAAAAGAAGATCCCCCGCAGCGAAAAATTAGGCTTTTTAGGCTTTTGGGTAATTTATGTGAGGTCAGCACATCACAACATCTACTCTGCATTAAATTTTATTATTGAGTTTTTGCCAAAGTTGTATAACATGCTTGCATTTTTTCTTCTAGGAAATGTTTTCAGGGAGAAAAAAAAAAGAAAACACTCAAATATGCTTACAGAAATTGCCAAAATTGAAGCAGTTATTTTGCTTCTTTATTTCCTTTTGCCTTAGACAAATTGCAACCATTTTTAATGTTTTCCAACTATGTAAATGTTTTCATGTTTTTTATGCAGGTGCAGATATAGTACAGTGGCTGCTGAAGAATTTGTCCATAGAGGATTCAGGTATGTTTGAAAACAGTGTTTGTGTTTAATGTTATTAGGAAATATAATTTTTTTTCACCTAATTTAAACAACCATTTTATTTCTATGTATCACTTGGATCACAATACATTACATGAATCTATGTTTTATGTATTAAAAATGTATTAAATGGAAGGAGAAAATGAACTCCAGTAAAATGTTTATTTTTTTACATGCATGTAATGTAACTGAAATCAAATGACAGAGGAGCTTTTAGAAACAGTTAGGCTTTTAGAAATAGCAGTGACGTAAGAGTGATCTTTTATTGTTCGCATGTTCTTGCTCTTAATTGTTGTTCACTTATATCACCTTTTATGTGAACCAAAAAAAAAATGCATTTGACTTGTAAATTTTTATATATTTTTTTTTGTAGCTGAGGCCATGCACATAGGAAGTCTGATTGCAGCTCAGGGATACTTTTTCCCCATCTCTGATCACGTCCTGTGCCTGAAAGACGATGGTACTTTATATCGCTTTCAGGTGAGACCAAACGTCAAACTAACACAAGAAAAAAGTCATGTTTTTTTTAATGCTGCTCATTACAACCAGCAAAAATGCGCCTATTCTTAAAGAACAGTAAAGTCCTTGTTCATAGAAAAAGTAGCATTATAAGTAAATTAGTTATAGGAAGACATGGACAACATGAGGAACAAATATCCAACAAGAAGTGATAAATAGAAGAAGTAATAAAATCCAGTTGTGCAAGATTTTCTCTTTAATGTTACAAAGTTGTAACGATCTTGGTTCTGTTGGTTTTCTCTAAGTTTTCAGTTTCACATTTATCCATCTTTTTCTTTGTTTTCTAGCTTTATGGGTGTGTTCTGGATTTAAGTTTCTTAGGTTTTTCTTTGCTTTTCCTCTGTTGCCCCCTTGTGTTTTTTTTTTTTTCCCTTGGCTTCCCCGTCAGCTCTACTCACACCTGCTCCTTATCAGCTCGTTAGTCCTGCCTTTGTTCAGTCAGCCATAAATACATGTGCAGTCCCTCAGTGCTGGTTCCTCGTCTTACTTTGTCTTACACTGGCTCCTTGTGATTGTTTTCCACTTGTCTCCCCATGGTTCTGGTTTGTGTTTAATCTTTATGTTGGATTTTTGGATTCCTATTTTTGCTACCTGTGATCTTTCTATTAAATCTGCAAGAACTCACCTCAGCCTCCCTGCCTCTGCATTTGGGTCCTCACAAAAACCTCCAACCAAATCGTGACAAAAGTATTATAAAGTTAAAAATTTACTCAAAATCTTAGTGTTAAATTAATCCTTATTGCTTTTGTGTAGTAAAGGGAATGTACTGTATGTGTATGGAGAAAAAGCTGGAGAAACAGAGTTGCTAAAATTATGTAAAGGGGCACTTGGCCCCTTTAAAGTGGACGAAGTAGAATTAAAGAAGCATTTGTTAGAGTGATAATTATAAATTATTGTGTGGACATTTGAAACATTGAAAGAAAGAAGATGCTACATTTCTATCCTGTGATTCAATCAGAAGGGTCATAAACTTTTATGACCTGCATCCAGTAGGTCATGAGGCAGAGTCACACGGTTGTGCGACTTCCATCCAGCCAGATGGTCATTTCACACCCAGCCAGTAAAAATCTGGCCAGATGCATTTCATCTTATGACCTGCATCCTGCCAGATAATCATTACTGGGTCTTCTGTTTAAGGCCCGCCCTATTATGTTGTAAACTGTTAATAAAAGGCTTTGCTTTGAAGGGATCTGTGAGAAATGGTGCTGGTTTGGAGCCAGCAGTCTTTCTTCCCTGTGCAGAGGTTGACAAAATCCCTGTCTGTGTTTGATCATTTCGTCCTCAAAATCTTTTAAACTCACATTTCTCTGGATTAAAACCCAACAGCATTGCTTGTCACAAACCTCATTTTGGTCTACAGATAGGGCTCAGGTACTCACTTATCAGTAAAATTTAATTTATAGGTTCTGCAAGGCAGAAAATCGAGAAAACAAAAAATAGCAATGAAGTGATCGTTAAAAAAAAAAGGATACTAAAAAGTTTGGAAAACACATTAAATTCGTTACTTGGGTTAAAAAAAACATGTTATGAAAGTGAAGTTTATATGTGATTGAAAGGTTGCAGGATTATGCAGGGCTGCCAAATATTCACCAAACCCTGAGGTGAGATTTTGAAAAGGTATGGACAGGAAACCCTGTCAGGATTTGATCAAAAGGCTCAGAGGATGGTGCAGCTATAGGTTGGGTGTTTTCAGAGGATTTAACTTAGTGTCAGAATTTGGGATTTTTATAGCACAGTAGATGTTACTGAGTAACAATAAGTGATCTGTAGTTATGTAGAAAATTTTTCTCACAATATATATTTTCTATATCCAGGTGATTTTTCAGAGTAAAGAAGTATGGGCTCCTAATACAGGAACCAGTGCAATCGAATCCAATGCAAACTTCACTGTGTATGAATATTTATTAGGCTAAGGATTTAAAAAGCTTAATTCATTATGTTATTAGTTTTTCTCACAATTGACAAAGCAGCTAAACAATTCAGACCTTCTAGGAGGCTGTAGATTTTATAACAACTCACCAGGACAGGAGACAGCCCTTATCTGGGTGTTTCATTTGGCAAATGTGATGGAAATTAAGTTAGCATATTCAATGGACCAAAATAAGGATAAATTAATAAGATAAGTAATAATAAAATGAGAACATATCTGTGGTTCTCCTATTATGAATCCTGGATAACTGAGTTGTTCTTCACATCCTCTCTGAATGTGGTTGGTCTTTTCTTGGATGGCTGATCTTTTGAAAAATAAAATGCAATGGTTCTTTTTTGTTTTGTGGAGCACCTATGGGTTTGAGAGACAAACCTGAACTCAAGTATTAGATTGCTTAAAATCTTCAATAATTTACAAAGAATTATCCTGGTGCAGATCAGATAAGATAGAAATTGAAATGACATACCTTGTAAGAAATGTCTTTATTCAAATCTGGCACAGCGAATAGGTGGGAATACGGACTGGATATGAACCTGGCATGCCCTCGTGTGTTAGCACTAAGGTTGTATTAAAAACATGGACTGGATTTTCATCAGCATGGTATTTTTATACATAAATAAGTAAAACAGAGTTGAGATTTAATGTCATTTTTTAGTGTGAGAAATTGGGAATATGGAGTGAGAGGTGTGTGAAGTCACTGAGATGGGTGAGTCTCACTCCCAATGGGTGAGAATTGACAACCCTGGGTTATGTTTCGGGTAAAAATCCCAACTCGTAAACTGAGAGCAGGTATATAGTTGGTATGGTCCACCTAAGAGCAGTCCGAAATTCTAATACAACTATTTTAGATCCGACAAATTGTTGCTTATACCTATGTTAGAAGACAAATCTTTAACACTGTAGTTAAACCATTTTTGAAATTTCAAAAATCATTTTAAATAAAAATTTTCCATTTTATTTTTTCTTTAAATAAAAGATTACATTGTTTTCCTGAAGCTTTGTCAGTGACCTCTTGGGTTTACATTATTTAGACATTAAAGAAAGAGCACATGCATAATTTGCTTCAAATAAGACAGTTTTAATAAAAACAGATATGTTGGTTTCTTTAATGTTTTTTCTTTTGTGATAAAAACAAAACAAAAACAAAACTTGTGTATGCCCTCAATTGACAACTATTAACCTGCAAAAGGAAATATTATTAATATCGTTGCATAACATCTTCTTTGTAGATGCTTCTTGGAGAGTAGATTCCTAAAGAGAACTAGAGTACTAGAGCAGTAGTTTAATTAAAGTAGACATCAGTGTCCTACAGTGCTTTGACCTTCATTCTTGTCTTTCAAAGTGAAGTGGAGGAGCAAGCGGTGTTTAACGAGGCCGAAAACATTAATAAACATGTCAATACTGATTTAAGTGGAGCAAAAAAGCTGCAAGACAAAGAAGCACACAAAGATTTGAAGAGAATACGAGTGCACAGGAATGATGGTTATCAGGATGTTTTAAAGAGGGAAACAAAATAGTGTTTTGTAATGTAGAAGTATACATGTTTTTAACATTGATTTTCAAATAAAACTCTTAAAAGTTTGACATACAGCACAGATATAACAGTTTGCAATTTTCTTTAGTCAATTGGCGTCTGTTTGTTCCCCATCGTAGGTACTGTATCTATTAATTTCTTGAACGTGGTCACATTGAAACGTTGATAGTAATTTCTTCTTTACACACACACACACATATATATATATATATATATATATATATATATATATATATATATATATATATATATATATATATATATATATATATATATATATATTTGACTATTAGATTACCTAATTTACTGGCTCACATTTTTTTTTTTTTTTTTTACTTTTCACTGCCTGTCCTTTTTCATTTTTTTTTTTTTTTTGTTCCAGGCACCATATTTCTGGCCATCTAACTGCTGGGAGCCTGAAAACACAGATTATGGTAAGAATAGCTATATTCTTTATCATCCTAAAATGTTTTATTTTAATTTGGATTTTAAGGCTTTTAATTTAAACTTCAACTTTTTTTTATTTTTTTTTTATATTTTTTTTTTTGGGCATTAACCTTTTATTGGGAGGACCACAATCTATTGTTGCTGAATATATGCAAGGATGGACTAATTATTAGTAATTCTTTCATGATTTCATGATTAACTAAAAGATTTATTTATAAGGTTTCTTTGACTATTTTTATGTCACTTTAGTCGTATACAGGTCCTTATCCAAATGTTAGCATATTGTGATAAAGTTAATTATTTTCCATAATGTAATGATAAAACTTGAACATTCATATATTTTAGATTAATTGCACACTAACTGAAATATTTCAGTCTTTTATTGTCTTAATACGGATGATGTTGGCATACGGCTCATGAAAACACTGGTCATTGGTTAATATAAGATGAAATCATATAATTTATGGAACCTACTTTAAAAGCTTATTCCAACTTTTTTTGTGTAATTACCTTAATTTTTACATTGCAACATGAGCAACTTGACTTCTTTTAAAAGAAGGGAAAAAAATAATGTAATCCCAATATCATATTCCAGATACTGTAAAGATTTCAAAAGGCTGCACTAGTTTGTGTATAAGGTTACACTGGAGATTTTAATGATGGAAGGAAATAGCTGGAGACTGAAGATAATGATCAATTAGGATCATTTTGACATAGTACTTTTTAAATGTGGGGTTTTTACATGTAGAGATTCTTCCGATATGGAGGGTGTTCTGATTAGTATGCAAACACTTGGGTTCATTTGCCTAACGGCTACACAAGGAATGAGTTTGACTCTCTAAGGAAGCCATTATTTCTCAATAAGAAGCAGTTAGGGTAGAACTGGTTCTGCTTCTAAACAATCCTTGCTTCCACACGGGCCTCTATAAGCTGTCAGAAATTATGCAAGACTCACATGGTTGTACAGTTCTTCACAGAAGTATTTATAGCCATTTACAATTGGTAACTTCTATGTACTTTATGGTTTTACTTGGTCAGTACAAAGTAGTGCACTTGTTTGAATCGGAAGAAAGAAGGTTTTGTTTATAATCTTTTAAGGGTTTGTTTATAGCCTATATATATATATAAACCTTACCGAATGGTAATGGCAAACCAACCAGACATTGTGGTGGTGGAAAAAAACCAGAGGAAAGCTGTTGTGGTTGACATGGCAATACTACCAAGTGACAGCAACATCAGGAAAAAAGAACAGGAAAAAATGGAGAAATACCAGGAGCTCAGAAGAGCTTGAGAAAACCTGGAAGGTCAAGGCATCAGTGGTACCCATGGTCATTGGGGCACCCAGGGCAGTGACTCCTAAAACTGAGGAGTGGTTACACCAGGTCCCTGGAAATACATCAGACAGCTCTGTTCAGAAACGTGCAGTTCTAGGAACAGCAAATACTGTGCAGAACTCTCAAACTCTCAGGCCACTGGTAGAGGATCAGAGTTTGGATGAAAAAAGGGGGGAGACCACCCGCGGTGGGTGAGGAGGAGTTTATATATATATATATATATATATATATATATATATATATATATATATATATATATATATATATATATATATATATATATATATATAAATTTTGACCAAATATGTTATTCTAATAAAGAAAAAAAAAACTATATTTAAAATCAGTATGAGGTCTCAGATTAACACAGTTAAAGCTGGAATCTTGTCTCTTGAGCCTAAGTATAGCTCTTGGGTTGGCTTGGATTTTTAACCAGGTTGATTTATCAGAAATATAAAAAAAAGAGGCGATGAAGTGATTTAATTTCATTAAACATTTAATGTTTTTACATATTTTTAAAAAGCTGGATGTTATTACTTACAATTGTGAGGCTAAAGGATCCACAGAAATCTGGCTTAGGAATAACTGAATATGGCAGTATGAGAAATTAGAAAGCATGAAGGACAGCCTTGTTTCTATCTCTAAAGGTTTGGTATTTAAAAAAAATAAAATTGGCAGTAAACATACTCATGTTTGTCTCGTTTACTCAGTTGCCTGTAAATCAGGTTACATGTTTGAAATTAAAAGCATCTTAGACTCATTCTGGACCTGCTGGATGTCGTTCACTTCCAAGTTCGAAGTACTCCTGGTACAGAACTCTTGCTCAGCTTCAGCATTTATAGGTTTTAGTTTAAAAAAAAAAAAGATATAGGTTTTGGTAAAGTCTAGTGCTGTTATAATTAAATCATCCATCCATCCATTTTCAATCATGCTCATCCTAAGCGGAGTCACAAGGGGTGCTGGTCGGTATCTCCAGCTGTCTACGGGCGAGAGGCGGGGTACACCCTGGACAGGTTTCCAGTCCATCGCAGATAATTAAATCAATCTTGGCCTATATCTGAGTTACAATTATGTTAAATTAGTTTTAGAAGTTACATCTCTAACGTTTGTCAAACAAGTTTATAGAATTAGTTTTAACCTTGTTTAATGATGACTAAGACTATAATTAAGACAGCACATATGAAAGGACCTATACATGGGTTAAGAGAATGTTTTTACTAATAATTTCTGGTTTTGTTGCCTTTTCTCAGCTATCTACCTTTGCAAGCGAACCATGCAAAATAAGACGAGACTGGAGTTGGCAGATTATGAGGCGGTGAGTGGAGAAATGTTACTTTCAACTTTTAACGGTTTGGTTTGAGGAACTTTTGGGCAAAAATACAATGTGATAAGAGATTAAATCTTTGTATACTGTTAATATGTGGAAGTTATGTCCCCCTGATAGCGGCTGCGCCTCAGAACTTCCCTACCGGTTCTTTTCCTGGGAGCAAGTTATTTATTACTATTAACTCAAACTGGGTAAAACCAAATAAAAAAGGACTATCAAAACAGGAGTAAAAAAGTAACAGAGTTTATTCCAGATCAGGTCGTTACAGGACAGAAATTGCTTAGAGTTTGCACAGCTGTGGGCTCAAAGAACGTCAGCGAGCATCCGACAAAGTTGAGCAAAGATTGAGCTCCGAACAGGGTCATCTCCTCCAGCTTATACCTCATGATTCCATGTTTTACATCAGGTGGAAGCTCAGCTGTCCGTATAAGAAACTGACATGCCATCCATGCCCTGACCTGTATGCATCTTTCCTCTATGCCCAAGAATTACAGATAGCTCCCCTTTATCAGGCCGGCTCCAAGATGTGCCCATATCCTGTGTATTTCTAAAGACATGAGGGCTGTCCTGATTAGATGACCTCCATACACACAGTGACATCCACAATGTGAAGGAAGGCCCTCTACTGTCTAATCTGGCTAACAGAATAAAAATGCACACGATGTATAAAGAATAAACCTAACAATACTGTTGTACCATAATTGTTTTTATTAAAATATTTATCCCACAATTAGAGACTTGAGTAGAACATTTCAGGTATAAAGTAACTGCCTCTCTCCCAACAGGAAAACTTAGCAAGACTGCAGAGGGCCTTTGCAAGAAAATGGGAGTTTATCTACATGCAGGCTGAGGCCCAGGTCAAGTAAGTTAATAAGAAAATAGCAAACATGAACTAAAATAATTTACAATAAAGGTAAAATAACAATTTATTCAAATCTGTAGGTTTCCTTTTGTAAAAATGTTTATAAGAAACAGACATGAATGGTTATGTGCAAGACGGTATTGTTGAATAAATTAAAACAGGAAAAAAAAAGTAAGATTCTTGTATTTTGGTTTTGTCTTAAGCTTATTAGTTTTGTGTAATGTATCTTGCCACATTCTTTCATTTTTGTCATTAGGAGTTTTCCATATTTTAATTTTGTTTGTTTACTTCTTGCCATTTACTTTCTAGTTTATTCAATCTAGGGCTTTTATTTGGTTTGGTCTTTCCTAGTTATTTTGGATTGACTTATTTTTCCCTCAGTTCATTTCTCCCTGAGTTTCATTTAGATAATTTCTTGCTCAGACAGTTTTCTGCTCCTGCGTTTGCTTAAAGTTTCAGTCATTTTGCCTGTTTTACAACCAGTATTGCCACCAGTTTATTTTCCACAAAAGGACCTTATTCAAAACTAAAGTTTCATTATGGTGCTTCTGAGTATCAGACGCCAATGTGGTCCGGAACAACCAAGTCTAATACAATCAGAAAAAGCCATCAAAAAAGCCATCAAAAAAGCCATCAAAATTGCTAAATTGGTTCCACTTAAATTTGCATCAATCTTATGTGCAGATACTTAGATTTATGGACATAACAAGCATTCATGATTGTGGTTCATGTGAAAGTGATGATTTTAAAAGCCTCTGATAATCACTACATACTACGTAAAATTAAAAACATTTCAGTCTTAACAGCCTCACCACTGTTCATCATGATCCTTTTTTTCGTGAATCTTTTGTCCAACATGAGAAGATTGAAGCTTTGTTTCTGTCTCCCACTGATTTCATCTCCAGGATCGACAGGAAGAAGGATAAAACTGAAAGAAAAATCCTTGACAGCCAGGAAAGAGCCTTCTGGGATGTCCACAGACCTGTGGTAAATCGCTTTCTGCGATGCTGACCAACTTATCTTTCCACGTCTAACAGCAGATACTATCTTTACCAACTTTCTACTGAATCATTGTTAGAACTCCTGCTAACAGAATTGGCATACAAATATTTTCTATTCATTTTCCTGTAGCCTGGATGTGTTAACACCACAGAAATGGACATCAGAAAATGTAGACGCATGAAGGATCCACACAGAGTTAAGAAGGTATGTAGTAACTAATCCCTTGGCCGGGGAGACTTTTTATTAATGTAAAAAAATGCTATCTATATAATATAATGTGTTTTAACTACCTTTAATTCATTAATTAAATACAGTATAATAGGTTATTTTAAATGCATTGGAACAAGCAGTTGGGCAGTTGTCCAGGTTGACTTTAAAAAAGGGGAACATGAGGACCTTTCAAAAGTTTTCACTTGTATTTTAAGTTTTGCATTGCATCTTTCAAATGTTTCCTTCCCACCTTGTTTTTGGGCAATCTGTTTTCTGCTCACATAAGAGGAAGGTAGTTATTTGACAAAGTTTTACAGCAAACCCCACCCCCCACTCTACAACTTGGATTCTGATTTTCCTTCTGACGGCTGTTTGGTATAAACCTAACTGGACTAATATGAGGCGGACTTCAAGTTCCTTTTTTTCCTCCCTTTAGCAAAATACTTCCCTGTTTGATTCCTTAAGTGGAAGGGAACCAAAGGAGTTAAAAGCCTGAGGCTGCAATAATGTAAAACCTGCCAGTGACAATGAGGGAATTCCCACATCACATTCAATGACATTATCTTATCTATCTTTTGTTCTTTTATGATCCAGTCAGTGTACGGGGTGGTGGAGGAGGGAACGCAGTCACAGAGCCCGATACACAGTTCATTTCATCACTGCCGAAAAGGAACGAAAGAGGATGTTGAAAAAGAAGTAAGAATTTCTGTCACATTTAAATGTTTCTAACTAAATCCATGCCTTTCTGATGCTGAATAACTGCTTCTCTCTTGATAAATGTAATAGGCTAAAAGTACTAACAGGGGATGCTCCCTGTCATGTAAATCTAAAGGAATGTTAACACAGCAGACAGATGTGACCCAAATCTGAACTTTTGGCATATGTATTGCTCACGTCGACTTCTTTATGGCCATCTAAATGGCCCAATTCCAATCTTTTCACCCTAAAAACAATACACTCGGGCACCTTTGACATGGGGTACTAAATATGATGCAAAGCCAATTTATCTGCTATCTGATTGGTTATTTTGTGTTTTATCTGACTTGGATTACTGCCAGGGCTCCCACTACACATCGACACAGATGTGTCTGCAGCAGCAGTAGTTAGATTGCTTTGTGAATGGATGCTGTAATAGTTGTTTTTTCGTACCTGTGTTGATGGGGTGATGGGGCATATTCCCCCTGCCCTCATCACCCAACATTTTATTATTTTTTTTAACAAAGCTTTATGGAACACTTCTAATGACAGTTACATCCAATATTACTTCAGTAAATGGTGCGCTGCTGAGTGCCGCCCAGATTCAACTGCCACTGCAGATTGATTTGATGTCCTTATTCGTCTAGATTAACGTCTGATAGTAGTAATATTTGATTATTAGTATAAAAGCCCACGTCAAAGGTTGGATTTTTGGAAAAAAAAAAACAGAAATTAGCATCAAGACCTGCTGTGCAAACATAGCCTAACACAATCTTATTTATTTACCATAGTGCAGTAAAAAGGGCACATTCAGTGCTATTTCTCATTCTGCATTCCTTTTAGCTAACAATGCCTTTTTTTGGGTTCTCCACAGATTTTATTTCTAAACACCCAGCTAGATCGACACTGTTTGAAAATGTCCAAGGTTGCTGAAAGGTAAAATAAATCCTACTTCACAAACATGATGAACATTAAAATATTAATATTAAAATATTAATGTAATATTTGTATTTTTTTAAACATATGCTCCAAGGTTACCCTAATAAAAGATATATGATCATTCTTTAGGAGCCTTGGCTTTGTTATATGGTTTTTAGAAAACTTGGAGAGGAACATAAATCTGGATCTTAGAAGTGTTTTTTGTGAAACTCATGGAATACAATTTGTCTGTGATTAATCTGCTAATTCAGAATAAATATTTGAAAAGGAACCACTTTTAATAAAGTTTTTGCCTTGAATTTAGAGGAAACTCCTCAAATATCCAGTAACTCACAGTTTCAATAACAGACAATTCACTTTCTCTATAAGAACATTCTTACTTTGTTTAGTTATTTGACAGAAATGATTCATGGGAGATGCTATTGGACATTAATCATTTTATGTTTCTACTTTTCCCTTCATATGGCACTACTCTGTATTTAAGCATTCTCTTTATAGATATCAGCATAAAAAAGACACCTAAATGATTTTTTTAAACTAACTAAACTAACTAACTGATTCTTCGTAATGTCCATAAAATAATGAGCAGGAAACCTCTTATTCTGTCATCTAAATGTGGTCATACTTCAGTTTCTTGAAATGTCGATCACATACAGAACGTTTTCTAGTGAAACAAAATTTTTTTTATGTCCCAAGTCTTTATCCCTTGACGTCCATTTTTTCCTGCACAACCCTGATTTGTGCCACAGTTTATGAACCTTGGTTCTTGTGTATATCAATGTTGATCTCACCCTGTTAACATGCATTCATGTGTGTTTTTGTAAACCAGTCTGATCATTTACACTGAGCAGTTCATGGAGTATGACCCATTTGTGACATCACCTGAACCATCCAATCCCTGGACCAGTGATGACCCCACTCTCTGGGATCTGGAGATGAGGTACACTAGTAAAAGCGGTTGCTTTTTGCTTTAAAGCCTGCTAACATTTACATTATAGAAACTCACAAAAAGACAGAGATTACATTTGTGGGTTGTGCATCTAAAAATATATATTTAAAAATATTTGTTTCTTGTCTTTTTTTATTTTGTTTTGTTGCAACACAAAATGCTCTACTGTGGACCTTATAATTTTGCTGGTCCAAAGCAAAAAACAAATGGAGCTCTTTCTCTGAAAGTAATGTTTCCTGTCACCCTATTTTCATTCTTATTCAAAAAGTGTTAGGTGTTCAAAGATTTAAACATTCTCAAACTTGTGGAATATTGCTTTATTAAATTTCTGAGTAAAAAAAATCCTTGACAATATTTTTTGCTATTTCTTACCACCCATGCATTTTGATTTTATCTTATTAGCATGAGAAATTTGAAAAATTATTTGATAATAAAATAGTTAAAGTGGTTGAGGAATCGAAATGCCTGAATGCAGGTATAGCTTGTTTTTCACAAACTAAAGGTTTGGGTAGTGTAAACCTTTAAAAACACAATTTGAGCTCAGCATTTAGTTTAAAAAACTTAGAAAAAAGTCTGTCTGAAGGAAGTACAGTTTTAGTAGGTTTAATCATAAATAACATGCATGTTAGCATGTACCAACATGTCCTGTTATCCTTATAGTGCCATTCATTTGCAGGCCTAATCCCAACAAATACCAACATAACTTACCCTGTACTGCATTTTGCACCATATTTATTTTGTACTGCAGTGAATTTTTCCATATTAAGGCCCTTTTGCACCATTATTATTATTTTTTTCAACTGGTTTTCCTTTTCTCCTATACTGTTTACATGATGACCACTGCTGCACTTTAATGCAAATGTTCATTTTACTGTTGGAAGCTGTAGGTAACATAATTTAATGTTGCATACACTACAAAATTATTGTAGGTACAATTGTCTTGAAAGTCCAGTTGTCAGGCTAAAGTTTGTCTAAGTCTAAACCTAACCTAAACTCAGTTCACAACTTAATCATAAACTAACCTAAGAATAGAACTTTTCCTTATCTTGTGAATATTCCTGGGAATTTGATTTTTAAATGTGCCCACAATTTAGCATGTACTTGCCCACACATACAGTCCTAATAAAATTAACTTAATAGCTTCTCTGTATCTATTATTTTGTCTTGATAAGTACATTTTACATCAGGTTTCCAGTCTCAAGACTGGATTTTAGGCATTTTTAACTGCAACAGGAAAACATTTTTAAAAGCTTTATTGTTGCTTTGTCATTGCAACAATATGAATTTCCAATAGGAGTCAGATTTTGTATGTGTACAGCTGGGAACATAAGTAAAAAAAACAACAACAAAAAAAAAAAAAAACTGGTTGATCTACTTTTTTGTTGTTTTGAAAATTCACACAGCTATGTGATATTACTGTTGGCTACCTGAATTATTTATGAAATATAAATGGAAATCTAGAGGGTAAACACTACTCTCAACAATTTGAACTGTGCTCTGAACTGCTGGCCTAAGTGAATAATGAATAAATTAGAGAAGACACATAATCAAGGAGCGTAATGCATATTAATTTATCTGAATTGATTGCATTTGACACAGGAATATAATCCGTCCCATATTAAAGGGACACCTATTTTAAGTTGATTTATTTATATATATATATATATATATATATATATATATATATATATATATATATATATATATATATATATATATATATATATATATAAATAAATAAAAAGAACAGAGTTTTTCGCTTTTGTGCAACTTTATTAAACAAAATCCACGGTTCGAGCATAGAGCGTATGTAGTTTTCTCTTTCCGTAAATATACACAGGTCAAGAACCTTTAACTCCCAACATGCATTGTGTCCTTCTTAAAGAGTCATTATGACACAAATCTATAAAATAACAAAAAAAAAATAAAATAAAATGGTTTGAGCACATATTTAGTCATAAACCAAATTAATTGTTCTAACTAAATACTAATTCAAATAAATGCTTGCCCAATAACATAATTATACCTATTAATTTAACAATATGAACACTTTTTCTAGGGCTCTACGTCACCATTGCTGATCTTTCAATTTATTAAACATTTAAATCTGCTTCCCTTTGGTAGAACTCTCTTCTAAATCTTTATTGTAATAATAATTGAAATAAATTGATGAAATTAAAGTTTTAAACTCCTCTTTTTCCCCCTTTCCCCCTTTTGTCTTTCCCAGCAAAGAGCCCAGTCAGCAAAGGGTAAAGAAGTGGGGTTTCTCCCTGGATGAGGCCTTAAAGGATCCAGCTGGACAGGACCTGTTCCTCAAGTTCCTAGAGTCAGAGTTTAGCACAGAAAACCTGAGGTGAGGGAAAACGGAAGCTCGGATAATCTCCTAAATCATAGAATAAATTGGGATTTTCTAAGCACTTTTACAACTAGAGTTTCTCAAAGAGATTATTTTCCTAATAAATCTGAAACTGTTGACAAAAGCCAGTATGAATAAATATTGTTCTTAGGTTTTATTTTTGAAAGCATTGTTAAAAAACATGGCATAACATGAGCATTTGAAACATCAGAATTTTAAAGATAAATGTTCTGGTTTACTACAATTTACAGCCATTTCTTCCCGTGACTGAGGATCATTTTCTAGTTGACCTGTACAGTCTTTTGTTTTTGGTAAGGAATTTGTGACCCGACTTCCTCTACAAAGAGGATTTAGTTCTGAGATATATTATGAATAATTACTAATAAATATGTTTCTGTGTGACATTTTTTGACTATTTGAGTTTTTTGACAGGTACATAACCTGCTTTGTTGGGGGTAATTATGCTGAAAGACCGATTGTCAGCCTTTAGGTATGAGACTGTACAACATTTTGGTTTGCAGAGATAACAATGATAAATTTAGTCACTGCAAGTTGTCCAGGTCAAGTGGCTGCAAAGGAGGCCGACATCATTACCCCATCACTCAGTGTTTAGGGGATGTGCTTGTACTGTATGTTAATACTGATGTGGTTAACTGTTCTTGGGTTACTGTGGTTCAGTGCAATTTGAGCCCTTTGTGAAATCTGACTGAAGCTTGGAACAACCGATTTCTCTGTTGGGAATAATCTTTCTTAAGAATAAACTCAACTCAACCTAAACTCAGCCTAGATGATGATAATCTGATCATCTGCAATGCATACCTGCTGAAGTATAGTGGAAGCATTGCAATGATGCTCTTTTTGTCATACTTCTCCTGTGCATTGGCTTATTATTGTTAAAACTGTGTCTCTCATTGAGAAAAAGGTTCCTTGACAATGTTCTTGTGTAGTCTTTTTCTCAGTTCAGGTTGATCAATTAATGCGCTATTAATTTATTATGTACATTGATCTTAGTTTATTTTTCGCTATATAAACAAATTGACACACCAAGACACAATGTATATGCATATGTATATAAGAAGAAACGGCTAGACAAAAACCCAAACATATGTTTTATTTTTCATAGGTTGTAGGTTTTCACTTCCAAGTGAATAAATGTGTTAATTTAGGAGTAGCTATTTGATTTGCAGAGAACATATTAAATTCATCCCTCATTTGGACAAAAGGATTTACACACAACCTAATGTTCTGCCTCTCATGCTCAAAACAGCTGTAAATGTTTGTGTTTTTTCTTCTGTGAGTTGGTCTTATGATGGAGCTTTTGAAGCATTTGTAGAGAAATTGAGAGTGAATCAAAGAAGTAGACCCCAGAGGCGCTTTTCCTCTATATTGCTAAGTCCTCAGATCAATAGAGAGAGAAAGTAATATTAGAAGTAGTCATCCTGTGGCTTTGTGCTATCTCTGTTGATGTATCGCCTTAATAGAAAGATTGTCGGATTGCTCTAAAAATGTGGATTCACAACATATTTCTGCTTAGCTAAGTTTTCAGAGGTGATGTAAATATATTTGAAGCATTGATTGTTTGACAAAGTAAAAAGCAAAACAGAAAATGCTGTTGTACAGCTGCTTTAACGTGAGGTAAGTAAAATTAGAATGATAAAAGAATGATCCAAAAGCTCTTAATAAAGAACTATTTTGTACGGCTATCATGAAAGGCACCAGTCAGAAAGTGAAACTGATTTCTAACCTCAGGGTTTATATTTCTATTAATAAAAATGACCAATGACAGTTTTCCTTTTTGAACAATATAGATAGATCTCAAGAACACAATATATAAGGTTAATTTTATTATGATCAGTGTTTAAATAGAAATTAGTGCAGCCAGAATTAATAAAAGTGAAACAAACATTTTCTACTCTGTCTTACAAGAAAATGTGACCTTAACCCTGAAATATCAAAAATGCTGTTAGCAATTCCTATTCCTTTGTGTCCCAAGCTCAAAATGATTTAACCGAGCACATGAACTCTGTTCAAAGTATTGTTTATCTTTACAAAATCAAAAAGCTCTTTTTCACTTACTTTGAGCTTGAATAAATCGTTGAATAACTCTGTCTTCTCCCTACAGTAACAACTGCCAACATAAGGAGTTACATATTTTATTAGGTGGAGGTGCAACTTTCCTTTGATGCATTTTATTATAGGAAAACCATTTCTGAGATTTTAGTCACAAGTAAAGTTGGATCAAGCTGGAAATCTACTGATTGATCTTTTGAACTTTTGTTTCATCAGTCTCTTAAGCATATTGTAAATGCAGTATAATAAATTGAAGCAAATGTCCAAGATGGCTTCCTAAAGCAAATGAATAATCCTTTTTTTTCTATCTCTTTTTACCCCAATAAAGCCAATGATAGTTGCAATTATAAAATCTAAAACACAAAGAATAGCATTCTTCTTAATGAAAGACCCAGTTTAGTTTAAAGATTTAATATAAAAATTCTCTCCAAGACCGCTACATAAAGAACGTTAGACACATCCAGACCCCGACAGAAGTTTAAATCCACTTTGTGAGCTTTTGTTTACAGAAAGACATTAAATCAATAAAGTACAACATATTATTCATTATGAAGTGAAGAGGTAAAGGCGTATAGCGATAATAAAGTAAATGCTAAACATCACAGTTAAGATGTTCAACCATAAAATGTACAATTAGCTACTCAATGAATCTGAAGGCAACAAGGACACCCTCAGAAATCACCTTTGGATATGGGATTTGTCTATAAAAACTCAATTTTATACAATACTTATCAGAAAATGTATTTTCAGACTTAAAGTATAAAGCTAGGCTTAAAGTATAGGACTTAGAACTTAACTTATTTAGGAACAAATTAAAAGTTTTCAATAATAAGTAACTGCTAAAATGTTACTTTTGATCAGATCCTTGAGGCTGTTAATTATGTGCATCTTAAGTTTTCCTTACTTTTGCCTTCATATAAAGTTCAAGATCATTTCAGATAAAATCAAATGGTCTTTACAAAATTAACAATTTTTTTCTTATGTGATTTGTATTGCAGATTCTGGTTAGCAGTACAGGGTCTGAAAAGGGTTCCCCAGCAGGATGTTGTACAAAGGGTGCAAGACATTTGGGCTGAGTTTCTGGCAGAAGGAGCTCCCAGCTCCATCAACCTGGACTCGCATAGCTATGAAATCACCAGCCAGAACTTGAAAGACCCAGGACGGTACAGCTATGAGGATGCACAGGTAGGAGGAAAACATAGGAACTAAGTGGCTAGAGGTTTGGAAATCACTTAAATGAGATAATGCCGGTAGACTTTGGCAGATGTACAACTGTCACGTTGTCTTGCTGCAAACAAAGAGTTTTCAACAAGACTATTGTGTCTAAAGAAAAGGGGTGCTTTTTGGTTTTGTAAGAAAATATGTGACTGTATTTTTACCACAAAGCATTTTATGCCAGATTTCTGTTAAAACACTAGACTATTTTCTTGCTTTCTGAAGCCTAGTGGTTGTTTTTTTTACTCCAAAATAATTTCATAAGGCAAATTAAAATATTTACTTAAAGTATAAAGCTAGGCTTAAAGTATAGGACTTAGAACTTAACTTATTTAGGAACAAATTAAACGTTTTCAATAATAAGTAACTGCTAAAATGTTACTTTTGATCAGATCCTTGAGGCTGTTAATTATGTGCATCTTAAGTTTTCCTTACTTTTGCCTTCTACTTTTGTTATAAGTAGAACTAAAAAACTTAAAAAAAGAGATAACAAGGGCAAGAGAGTGAATAAGTTTAACTTTATTTAGCACATTTCAAATCTAAAATATAAGAATCGGTTATCAGAACACTGTAAAAACAACAAACAGTACACAATATACAATTAAAGAAAAGCAGATTTAAGATGTATTTATTTTTTTTTTCCTTATTTGGTCTTTAAAGGAAGCCACTGCGTCTGCTAATCTTAGTCAAAAATGGCAAGTACCAAAGCAGAAGTGCGTCGGCGGGAGCCATAAGTGCTGTCTGAATAGTGTTGGTAGTAAGGAATGAGGTAGGGAGAGGAAAGGATTTTTCCATTCATAGTACATTTAGTAAATGAACCTCCCACCATTCTCATGGACGTATTGGCACAACCCAACTCAGAGTTTAACAAAAATACATTATTTCATCTTATACCATGATCAGTGAGAATTCTAATCTTGCCTTATTTTCATTTATAAAATGGTTGTTCCCCATTTTCTAATGTGATTGGGTGAGCCGCATTCCATCGCTGTTATAAAATACAGTGTGACTCACTCTTACCCTGAAATCCTCCATAACAGCCCGCTCCGCTCCAGACCGCTTGCGCAAATCGAAGCTTAAAGCCTCCACGGTTCCTCCCGTCTTGCTGCTCTCGGAGTTTCTTGGTGTCAGAAAGCATGCATTATGTTTCATAGGAGCAAACATGCGGTTATGAACGCTCAATTTGACATGAGATAATTAAAACTTACCATTAGCATTCATCACACATGCAGTTTCTCTCCAAATAAATTTTAATTGTGGGTCTTTGTAATAGAAATAACTTAGATCATAAACAATTGGTTTGATCTCAAATTCCAAAATCAGCATCTCTTCATCCTTGCCTGCAAAAAGAAGTTTCTTTTGAAGATGGCAGATGCGCTCTTAGACTTGATAAAATAAAAAACAAAACAAAAAAAACTTTTAAGCATAAAATCATTATTTTGATCCAAATTACAAATCTGCTTCCTGGTATGCTGCATTACAAATAGTCTGCATCCAATCGAACAACCTTCTTTTTTGGTACAGTAATATATATATATAATTTATGCTCAAATTAGTTGTTACTGATATGTCTTTACCCCATTTGACTTTGAAGAACCGGATGTTCTTGATGTTTTTTTCCCCTATTTATTCACCAATTGGGCTCACATTTTGTGAAGTGGCCCCAAATTACTGTTAAAGAAACATTTTATACAACTCCAGTAAGCCACATCTTTACATAACACACGTTTGTTAATAAGGAGACATCTGTACCTTCAGCCAATCATGATATTACACTATGTTTCTTAGATCAAGGACATCGCTCTAATTCCATTCCCAAATCTTTGCCACATGCATAATGATGATGACTTTTTACCCGGACGGAGGAACTGTCCCAATTAGCTAAACTACTTGGGAAAGCATTAGTTCTGACACGCAACAGGCATATATTATTAGGGTTTAACTGACTCACACATCATAATCCTAACAAGAGGGTGGGTTTGTTTATTTTTCTTTTACTTCATGGGCAATATGTAGGTAACAATACTATAAAAGCTCTGCTTCACTAAGCTTGTTGCTGCAGTATTCACACACCTAGCTGGCAAGCTAAATTGACGTCTTATTAATTTGCTACGGGCGCCATAGCAATGGAAAAACCATCCACTTAACAGATAAATATGAGGCATCGTGGTAGTAGGTATTTTGCAATGAATTTTGATATATCTGGCCAAAAATAATAAATACATTTGCCTCTATAGTTAAATAGTTAACCGACATACTGTGTATGCAAATGTTATTTCCATTTCTTCATGGTATCTTGAACGGTTGGTTTGCCAAAAAATAAATCGAGGCCAACAAAAATACTTAGACATACAGTAATAAGCTAGTTTATTAAATCAAATTAACCTTTGTCATAAAATGTTTACTCAGTGTAATCATGGTATAAATGAATTAAAAACTCCAAGAATGCATGCAGGTGCTCATTTCACGGTGTAAATGCATTTTGCATGGGTCATGGTGTACTCTACGTCGTGTCTTTAAACCGTGTAATGCGCAGCTCCTCGTGGTTTAATCCTTGCATGTTAATTTTGGGTAATGTATGCAAATGTACACACTTTTATATTTTTTTGGTTTTATAATTTAAAACTTTGCCTTCAGATCTTTTTTGAAAAGCTGTAGTCCCTATTTGACTTGCATCATCAATGTGTGTTTCCATCAAGTAATATCTGGAAGGCTGAAGGGTGTCTGGGTTCGGCAAAGCATTTCAGAATTCCTTACTTACCCATGATAGCATTCTTTCTGTTGAGCCCTGGAAAGGTGAACCTACAAATTGTACAATTTAGATGATGGGTCAGTGTCCTTTAGCTTCCAGTTTTGTATGAGGAACAATCAGCAGATTCTGATCACAGAACCTTTGAGCAGGTAATTCAATGTAGACAATGTGATTTAAAACAGGCAGTTTAACACGTGATTTTTAAGTTTTTTGATCGAGTGCGTTTGCTATCACTTCAACCCACATAGCAAAAGTGTTCTGGCCCAGCTCTAGCCTACAAAATCAGATGTCAGCTCAAATCCCACCTAAATAAACCATGTGGTAATTCAATGAACTCAAAAAAAAAATGTAGTCTAAATCTGATGAGGAGTCATTTTGGCTTTTTATTTATTTAGGGCTTGCTACAGAAAGTCATGTGGACTTGGTTACACATTTGTTTTAAAGCTCAAAGCCCTCCTTGATGCAACCACTATGTAACAGTCAAACATGCATAAACCACTACATAACAGAATAACTCTATAATGCTCTACTGTATATTGTAAATAATATGCTAAAATTGCTACTCTTGATAACACTTGAACATTTAAGGAGCATTGTTAATATAATTTTTTTTCGTCCCTATACGTTTACATAAAATACATGACGCAGTGTTTAGTGGTTCTATTCTTTGGTTGTTCATAACCTTACATTCTTACCCCAGAAGACATTCTCCCTAAACAAAAGACCTGTGATGCAGATGTTTTTCCTCTTCTCCCATGGTTCAATTTTAACTTGTCACCACTATAAACTCTAGAGCTTACTCTTTGCACCTTTAAACAGCTAATATGTATTAAAATGCCACAGAAATGACAAATTTATGCAACCATCCATTCAGTTAATATAGGTATAGGTGGTGTATTAATATAGGTATAGGTGGTGTATAAATACCTTGGTGATCACCTGGACAACAGAATAGACTTTAGACACAACCTCTAGATGCTGACTTGTCCTTCACTGCTTTCAACAAGATGCTGCATATTGTCTATAAATCTGTTGTAGAGTCGTATCTCTATTGATGATCCTTTCTCCTTTAAACAACTCATTGAAAAGAAAAAAAAAAGGTGACTTTAGTATTTAGTTTCCCTTTTGACACAAACTATTTTTGAATTGAATAACAGTAGATTAAAACATATCAAAATTCCCCTCAAACAATCAAGATTTTCTTATCAAGTCCTGAAAGACTAAACTAGATGTGTGAGGTGCCATCGAAGTTAGAAAAAACAAAATGGGTAAGAAAGATTAATTTTAGGTTTACAAGCAGCACATATTATGGGCAAGAGAAGCTCAGCCACAATTGGCTTTTGTATGGCATGTACATGTTTTGGCAACATATACCAAACCACCATGTTAATGTCACGGTATATCCACTGCCATCATCAGCTGACCCAGACCTGACCCAGTTCTAGTTGAAATACCATTGGTATGCCAGCACTTGGCCGTACTTAAGACCTGATCTGGCTCAGAGCTGGACCGCATGGCTCTGCAGGTAACCTGATAAATGAAGCAAATCCTATCATGTAAACCAACATTATCGCTTAGTTTAACATTGTGAAACGGGAGTTTTACTCATTTTAATAATCATCACTCTGGACAGAATAGAAACATTTATAGATGAGGTCATTGAGTCAGTCTGTCCCAGATCTATAGCTGAGGCAGAGCTCCACTGAAAACTGGTATTCAGTTATTTTTTCGGAGATGGAAAATATCAATTTGTGGCTTTACAGCATGATATACAGTTTCAACCAACCTTAAAGGCAACTAAATTTATTTTTAAGTGGAGCAATGCTGAAGTACGTATGTTCCTTCTGATTAACATAAGACTCCAAATAGGTCAAAACTGGTACTCAGAGGTCCTTTGCTTTCAATAACTTTTGGAGGCTGCGGTTTTCATTTAATGTACATATGTACAATAAAAGAAGAACGTATGTATTGAAGTGTTTCTTGTCAGGGATGCTACTTTTATAGCTATGTATTACACTATTATCTGTCTAGTTTGTATTTCATGCATGCTTTATCAGAGTTATGAGCTTGAGATTTTTATTGTGGATGTGGAGAATATACCTTTCTGAGAGATGGAGGATTCAGTGAGTGTGGGGAGAGATGCCTGAGGTTGTCTATCCAATTTTCTCCTCTGCTACAGACCTCTGAACAAAGACTTTAATAAAGAAAACGTTTGACCTGCTGAGTGCTCGGCAATGCACTGCAGCCCTCTTTATCCTGCAAAAATCCTCTTTAAATTCCTCTTGACATTGCCTTTCTTTTAAAACCTTTTTTTTTGGTTTGCTATTTTCTCAGAGCTATAGATGAGTTCATTACCTACACCAGTTTCTTGTAAAGACATCTCATTTTACATTTATTCCTATGTTTCCTTTTCATTAAGGACCACATATACAAGCTGATGAAAAGTGACAGCTATCCACGTTTCCTACGTTCCAATGTGTACCAGGACCTGCTAACGGCAAGGAAGAAAGTGAGCATGTTGTCTGTTTATGGGTCCTTTAGCTTTTGCAAATGTTAGAAACATTCATACCATAGATTTCAATGTAATTTTATGGGCTTTTATAATGGATCAAACAAAAGCAGCTCATGATTAAGTAGAGAGAAAGGGATACACTATATTGCCAAAAGTATTTGCTCACCCATCCAAATTATTGGAATCAGGTGTTCCAATCACTTCCATGGCCACAGGTGTATAAATTCAAGCACCTAGGCATGCAGACTGTTTTTACAAACATTTGTGAAAGAATGGGTCGCTCTCAGGAGCTCAGTGAATTCCAGCGTGGAACTGTGATAGGATGCCACCTGTGCAACAAATCCAGTCGTGAAATTTCCTCGCTCCTAAATATTCCACAGTCAACTGTCAGCTGTATTATAAGAAAATGGAAGTGTTTGGGAACGACAGCAACTCAGCCACGAAGTGGTAGGCCACGTAAACTGACGGAGCGGGGTCAGCGGATGCTGACACGCATAGTGCGAAGAGGTCGCCAACTTTCTGCAGAGTCAATCACTACAGACCTCCAAACTTCATGTGGCCTTCAGATTAGCTCAAGAACAGTGCGCAGAGAGCTTCATGGAATGGGTTTCCATGGTCGAGCAGCTGCATCCAAGCCATACATCACCAAGTGCAATGCAAAGCGTCGGATGCGGTGGTGTAAAGCACGCCGCCACTGGACTCTAGAGCAGTGGAGACGCGTTCTCTGGAGTGACGAATCGCGCTTCTCCATCTGGCAATCTGATGGACGGGTCTGGGTTTGGCGGTTGCCAGGAGAACGGTACTTGTCTGACTGCATTGTGCCAAGTGTAAAGTTTGGTGGAGGGGGGATTATGGTGTGAGGTTGTTTTTCAGGAGCTGGGCTTGGCCCCTTAGTTCCAGTGAAAGGAACTCTGAATGCTTCAGCATACCAAGACATTTTGGACAATTCCATGCTCCCAACTTTGTGGGAACAGTTTGGAGCTGGCCCCTTCCTCTTCCAACATGACTGTGCACCAGTGCACAAAGCAAGGTCCATAAAGACATGGATGACAGAGTCTGGTGTGGATGAACTTGACTGGCCTGCACAGAGTCCTGACCTCAACCCGATAGAACACCTTTGGGATGAATTAGAGCGGAGACTGAGAGCCAGGCCTTCTCGTCCAACATCAGTGTGCGACCTCACAAATGCGCTTCTGGAAGAATGGTCAAAAATTCCCATAAACACACTCCTAAACCTTGTGGACAGCCTTCCCAGAAGAGTTGAAGCTGTTCTAGCTGCAAAGGGTGGACCGACGTCATATTGAACCCTATGGATTAGGAACGGGATGTCACTTAAGCTCATATGTGAGTCAAGGCAGGTGAGCAAATACTTTTGGCAATATAGTGTATTTGTATCTCATTTGCATTTATCCCCCATTGCTTTAATACCACAAACAAAATCCAATGCATCCATTTGATGTTATCCATTACCGATGTAGTGAATATTTATTTTAAGTTTAAATACAGTTCCTCTATTATGACCTAAAGCCCCTGTCACAGCTTGACGATTTAGCCAGCATATGCCTGATGTCCCAGAATCTTCTAAAAACGCTGGCATACACTGAATTTTCTATGTATTTTTTAAATTTTGGCCATATACATAGAGTATTCGTAATGAGTCCAGAGCGTATTGTCATTGACAGCCTAACTTATGCATAATGCACATAAGCGTAATGCGCATAAAACGTTACAAGCCACTGTCCTGAGTGGGGCTACAATGTGCCCAGAGGTACCTGGTCTGTATAAAAAGATTTTTGACCTAGCTGCTGTTTACCGCCTGCCAAAAACAAAAAAGAACTAAATAAAGATAAAGAAAGAAAGAAGGTTTGCAGTGGCAGCAGATTCAGCATCATGTCTGCTAGGAAATGTGTTCATCGTGGCCGTGGATGTGAATGCAGGGAAGGTCTCTATCACACCCACCTTCTCGCTCACCCTATGATGGGGATGAAATCTAGAGGAGTACAAACGGTTTCCTCCTGTGGACCCCCTTTTATATCAAAACGCTGCCAATGGGCCATTATACAGTAGCTGTAAGTTAGAAACACGTTCAGTGGTCTTCTGGAGCACTTCAAATACGTTGGTATGAGTTGGAGATAAGTTCTGCTCAATTTACTTATAGGTTTTGGATAAGCTAGACACCACAACTTATGAGTAACTTACACTTAACATATGCCAACAATCAAATAACTTACCTATAACTTATGCCCCACGTATGGCATACGCTGTCATACTGTACGTCCAGAAATTTGGAGCATTTTCAAAATTTCTTGCCATGTGCCAGGGTGCTTCAGCGTGCTTTAGTGTGCTCAAAACTGACCCATAACTTATCTGACGTATGCCAGCGTTTTTGCCAGATTCTTCATATATCAGGCATAAGCTGGCTAAGTCGTCAAGGTGTGACGGGGGCTTTAGAGATTTGTTAGAAGACATCTTTGAGCAAACGGCATTAAAAAGTCCCTGAGGCCCACAAGGTATGTATGGAGGGAAAAATGTTCTGGAGAAGTGGATGAATTTGGTAATGAAACCAAACCAAAATTGGAAAATTATCACAGAAATTAACAGGTTAATTAAGGAGATTTTTAATCAAAGAAGCCGGCTGATGGGCCCTTGGTAGCCCTAGAGGAAGTGGAAGGATCTGCAAGTAACTTAGGATAATCTATTGATAATCATGTCTTGCATTCTTTATTGATCAAAGGCAAGAAGAAACAATTTAGAGGAATCAGTAAGAAGTAATTTATGTAGTTTGCCACAAGCAATTTAGGGAACTGCGCAAACTTGTGGAAAGACATGATTTGGTCAAATGAAGCCTTAAATGAAGTTAAACTATTTGGTCTTTATCCGAAATGTTTTTGTTTGAGAGGACCAGCACTGCATATAACCCTGAGCATACAAGCACCACTGTAAAAGAAACGGTAATGGCAGCGTCAGGCTGTAGAGCCCAAAACAGGGCAATCCTGAAAAAACGCTTGTAAGACACTGTGAGAGACAGATGTTTATGTTCTAACATAAGAAACGACTAACCATGCAGCCAACATTGTAGTGGTTTTGATCAAACTGTATTTATGTTGTGAAACAACCAAGTTAGAGGTAGAGGTTGCCAGGCTCTGACTAAATCCATAATGGATTCTGTTGCAGAACTCCAACTGAAAAAATAATTCTGTCAAATCAAAAAATCAACTGTTTAACACAGTTGTGTAAAACTCAGACACACCCTTGCATCCGTACTTTTAGTAAAATATGCTTGAGTATAGTATTGACAGATAAGAGCTAAATATAGACATTAAGCATTATATTCTCATTAAAATAATTTATTTTATGTCTAACTTTTATTCACTTGATTTAATGAAAAATCCTGTTTGTTTTTCTGCTTTAACTAAAAGGAGTTTAACTGTGTGGCTCTTTCTTTGGCCTTGCAGCCTGAAACGGAGCAGGGGCGACGCACCTCCCTGGAGAAGTTCACTCGCAGTGTGGTAAGAGCCTTATTGCTTGTCCTAAAACTTAATTAAAAAACAAACCAATGGTCTGAACTGAATGCTGCTGCTGGAACGTCCAGTTAGAAGTAGATAATGTGTTTACGGTATGTGCAGCATGCAGTGAGGGAGGTTCTGCTGTTAGGTTCTTATATAATACATTCATGTATTTACCATTTTTTACAACACAATTTGTTTTAATAACATTTCACTTAGCTTGCCTTTTAAAACTTGCTGCACTTTGTCTCCTTACATGAGAAAACTCAAACAGTGGTCTCATTAAAAACATTTTAGATTAGTTGACTTATCAGTGACACTAATTGCTTTGTCTAGAAGTATCACTAAGAGAAAATAAATTGCTATTGGGACGGTTTTAGAGCATAAGAAATAATTAAGGGGATAAATAGATACCTGCATTTGAGCTGTTTGTTTTGCTCTATAAATGAATTATTTATTCCCCTTTATAACCTGAAGTCTTTGCTATGCAATAATAAGTTAAAATGATTATTATTAAAATAACCCATTTTACTTTCATTTCCCAAATTATTTTAATATACAGGAAAGTATACAAACACTGTATTATTTCAATGGATTTAAATCTTTACTCTCAAATCTTACCTTCAAGTTCAAAAATCAATCCCTTATTATGTGAGGTTGTTGCAAATTTATAAATAAAAAGAAAACTAATGAATTAAATGTTTTTTCTAAGTACTCAAAGCCTTTGCCAAATACTTTGTTGATACACCTTAAGCTGTGGTGTCTTTTTTAATCCTTCCCAGCTATGTTTTTAGCACAGGTGTACACCATTTGAGCTGCAGGAAGATCTTAAGGATGAGCCGTATGCACCTCACGTTAAATCTGAACTCAATTTACATGGGTGTGAATAGTTATGTAAATATTATTTCTGATTTTCTATTTTTAGAAATTAAAAAAGGAGATTTAACATCACTGGATGTGATAAAGTATAGTTTTTGATACAAACCTTTTTCTTTACTTCCTATTCTGCCCTATCAGTTGATGAGCATGTCTGATTGTACATGTTAAACTATTCGATTCCTAAAGTTTGATTTTGGTCCCAACTAAATGTCTAAATTAGTTAGAACAAGAATCAATCTGTTTTCTTCTCTGTCTATATCCAGGGCAAATCGCTTACAAGCAAACGACTCACGGGCCTCATGCAGTCATCCTGACGAGGTCTGGATCCCGAATAGGACCAATCTTACCCACAGCAGAGGCGGGCAGATAAGAAGCTTTAGGAAAAGGACTCTTGTGTGTGTGGTTGCAGCTTTGGGAGGCTGAGGGTGTCAAACAAACCAAGACTGCTGAAATGGAAACCCAACACATCTGGATTGCACCTTCAGAAAAAGGGAGGACCAACAGCATGCAATAAGTCACCAGAGTTAGCACCAGGGGGTGCTGTTACACTACAGGTTTTCAGCTTTGGAGGATTTGGTTCTGAAACCAGTATTGAACAAGACTGAGGGAGATTTTTTTTTTCCTCTAACTGCACTCATTTTATTATGGTAGCTGAGGAGTTTAATGCTTTACTTTCAGTGATATTTACTTGGAATGCTTGAATACTTTGACTGATGTCGAAATGAGACTTAGATTATTGCTGTAGCTTGGTGTTTTTTCCCACTTCACTATAGGATGTAAACAGGGAAGGAAGAAAGGCAGGTTTACAGTGATTGAAACTTGAAAAGATGACGGGTACAGATGTGCATCAACATTTTAGTATATGTTGAAAAATGGTTAGGAATTTGTATCAATGACTTTTAAGCAAAAATAGGAAATGTGTGCTGCTCAGGCAGAGGGTCTTTCAATACTAGGTTACAAATACTTTTAAGAATCACAGTTACCTCTATGTTTTTCACTTTAAGAGAAAAAAAAAGCATCATCAGTTTGAGGCTACATCGAAATGCACTTTGTGATATACTTACAGTGGACCTTAATTTGAGCAAGCAACTGACATTTTATTTCCTTACAGGACATAGAAGAATTCAGCAGAGAAATGTTAAATTTCCACCAAAGTGAAATGGTATTATCTAACATGTCAATTCATTTTATATACTGTCTATTTCAGCAACATGGCGGACCTTAAAGCAGGACCAGATTATGATCTAAAATTGTCTCCATACAGCCCCAGTCAGCAGTTAAAATCGTATTACCATAAATAACAAACATTATAATTTTTTATTTCTTATTTCATAAGTTAAACAATACAACAGCAATTACGGAGAAAAATATGATAATTATTTTTCTTTTTTTCTTATCCATTGTTTTAAAAAATATGCCTAGAGGTTTAAACTAAGCATACATCCCATATTGATAATTCATCCTACAGCGAGTATGTACCAATTAGTTAGCTTCTGCATATTCCTGATGAAATATTTGATCAATTTGGTAGAGTTCATTTAATATTGGCAGTCTAAGCTTCTGAGTATAATGCAAACATTTCACCAAGTATCCCAAAATGAACATAGAAACTAATTTACAATTGTTAAATAATATTAAGCATCTTAACAGGCTTTGAAGGAAACCCTATTGACAATTTATGACTTTTGTCTTTGATTATAAAGCCACCTGAGATTCCTTAACACTTATTGCCTCAATGGCTCCTTGTATTAATGCAGTAATGCATTCAGAAGTATTAATTTGCATTAAATATATTTAAAAAAAAAGTTGACCTTTCTGTTTAGAATGATCCTTTCTTACTAATCTATTGAAAATGCTGTTTGAGTCACAGAATTTTGGCATTTTCACTATCCTCCAAGCCATAGTCTGGAGAATAATACAAGTGAATTCCTTAAATATTTTCCTAATATTATATTCACTATACAATAATTTATCTATACATAACCTAGTAAGAGACAGAACATTGAACATTCTGATCTATTTAGATATATATTGTTTATACTTTTGACCCTGTGTGGATTAAATACATTTCATTTCTAACCTATATTTTTCAGAAACATTTTATGTTGTATATGCCTTCAACATCAAACACAGAGCAGGTTAAATTAAGTAGATAAAAACCATCACTGACCGTCATGCATCCCGGCGCTGAGTGTATCTAGACATCTGTCCTGTCCTGGACAGAGTGGTAAATAAAGTCTGATGTTTTTTCTTAACCTCGAAGATGCTTTTGGAGCCTTTTTCACTAAATGTCCTTTTCTAGGAGTTCAAAGCTTCCCAAGCTATTGGAGGCAACACAAACAGTGACTATTCAAGACATTAAATGAACATAATTTTAAAATTTTGCCAGGTTAAACTTTTTTTTTTTTCCAAAGATATATTCATTTGGAGAAATCAATACTTGCAACATTTTTTATTTTTTTCTAACCTGTTTATTTAGTGACTGACAACCTGTGACCTGAATTGTCTGAGGGCTTTTTAAAAGTTGAGATAAATGGAAATGATTAAAACTAGAATATTTATGTTCCTCTTATAAAACCAGACTTTGGACATTCTTAAGGGTTGTAATAAAAACCCAATGTTGAAACTAGCTGTTTAATTGTTCACAGGTGCATCATTGCGCTCTTGACCATGTAAAAGAATTGCAGAAGCTCAAATAGTTGTTACCAGTTCTGTGGATAGATTGTTTGCTTTATTCTGTCTTCTAAACATTCCACTTCAAGCCACAAAGGAAACGTGAGCTGGTGTCTTACCAACTTTTCACCCTATGTAAAGAGACCATGATAATAAAAAGGAATGCGCAACGAAAATTGATTTTTGAACCTTTTTTTTCTCTTTTTCTAAATCTTGCAGATACTATGTATTTGGAGTAAGGGCCTGGTTCTGGACATTGCAGACACAAGTAATTTGCTGTTACAGAAGGTAGATGCTGCCCTCTACTGTATTTGGTCTGCAGGTGCAGGTAAACAACCTACAAGTCTGAGATTCCAACTTCAATGTTCATCCAAGAACATCAACATTAAACTCTGAAACTGTTTTATGGTCAGATCTTTTCCTGTACCGTATTTCCTCCAAGTAGGATGATTAGCTGACAGAGGTTAACAAAGGCTGTTGTTTGAAGTGTGATAGTATTTTTTATTCTCTGTAAATCATGGAACTTGCATTAAACCCTTTTATCAGGTGCCCTCTATGTTCTGGCCTCCAGTGGATGAAAAGCGATACTCAAGCTGGACAGAGAATGTAAACATTTCAAACAAACCAGAGGTGAGGTTTTGTCATACTCAAATCTGTAAACTTTTTTTTTTTATATAAAATCTTTTGTTCTCAACTGGGCGTATATAACCCCTGGAAAGCCAATTTTAGACTGTATCAAACCTACTTTCATTAGTTCTGACCAGTCACAGATGTTGGTGTATTTTGTTGGCATTTAATATGATAGCACAGCACAAAGTACAGTAGTATATAATTATGCAATTAGGACAAAATGCATTGAGTCCCGTCAGAATGAATATGTGAACTACAATCTTTATCATCCTATAGATTCTGTTTAATTTGGATCCCAGTATTGACTGGTTCATTCAAATCAGATTCTTTCAGGTAAACATTTTAGTTGTAGCTGTGGCTGTATGTTTAGGCCTATGCTGCTAAAATTCAAATCTTCCCTCCAATCTCAAGCCTGTTAGCTTTCAACAAGTTTCAAATTTTCTCAACTTCAGTTTTCTGTTCATTGCTGGCCATGTGGTTCAGAAAGTGACATGTTGATCTCTTCAACAGTTTGATCCTGATTCTTGCCTTAATCAGTCTCTTATTCTAATTTGCCAATTTGCTTTCTTTATCCATTAGCAGGAAAAAAAAAAAAAAAGACAAATCCCCAGCCACTTAGCAGGACCTATAGCAGGGTAATTCATTATTTCAATCCATTACAGCATGGTGTGTTAACAGTGATGTTTGCTCATTTGGTCCTGCGTGCTTTTAGAACGTAGCTGACATCTGATCTGTTTTCTCAAGTAAAGTCTTAAACGAGCACTTGCAATGAGCTCGGTTACTGATGGTCATTCAGTATTTCTTTCATTTACAAATCATTGCTGAGCAGCACAAGCTTTCTCACTTGACTTCTAACAAATGTTCTTAGAGTCCATAGTGGTGCAGAAGTTAAAATGGACCATATGACCTGAACCTGACCTTTATACAAATAATTCAAGGAGTATCTTTAACTGATGTATGTTGGTGAAGATTTTCAGTCTTCCAGGTCATGGTAATTCCAAAAAAAGTTAAAAACAAACCACTTAACTTTGTTTTCCAAGTTGAAAGACCTTTCTCAATTGAAAAAGCTTCAAACTTTAAAAACAAAGTCCAGTGGTTCGTCTTTAATTTTTTTTTGGAATCTTTAAGTGATCCGTCAAATAAATCAATGGGAGCCAGAAATTCAGGAGCTGCATTTCTGTTCATATTTGATCAGAAACAGAGAGCAACCAGGAATATTAAATGTATTTACCCCACACAGAAATAAACAGACATGACTTTGTAAGCTTTACATTATTTTAATCAGCCTTGATAATTGAGGATGGAAGTTAAAATCCATTGCCGCCCAACACACACACACTTCTATAATTTAACTGCACAACGCTGACTTTAGAAGTGTGCATCCTGCTTCATGAATAACACTGTAATAAGGACGCTGACGCCAATAGATACATCAAATGGGTTAAAGCCCAAGTTGGAGGCTCAGCAGATTAAGATTGTGGGGCTTAAAGGAATCTTATGCCTTATCTCCTTTAAAAGAAGTGTTAAAACATAAGACAGATCCATTGAACGTTTAACAGCTTTTGGTATTTTAAACTACTTGTACCAAAGAGAGGGATATGGGGTTTCAATCAAGCTTCAAACACAGATCTTGCCTAAATGTAATAAACTCCATGCTTTATAGGATAAAAGTAGCTTTTGTGAAAGGTATTACTGGATGAAAATGGTAGCATTAGGCAGATCCAGCAGGGCAGGATAGAGGCTGGACTCCTTTAATCTCCAGGGCCTTGTTAAACTGCACATCCATGGTCTTAGAAGCCTTAGTGATCTTCAGGTTCCTCATACAGCCCCTGAAGGAAGACGTGGTAGAAAGAGCTGCCTGCCGAACTCCAGCTGAGGGAAAATGTGTTTACAGGTAAGTTATTTCCGCTGCATACGTTAGGAATGTTTGGACGGTATGTACTGAATGGTTTCAGCTGCCCTACCAGGATATCCTCCAACATAGATGGGGTCGTTGGTATCGCAGGTGTTGGAGCGAGCATTCGGAGACTGTGCTTGGCTCTTTTCCCCATCGACCACCAGCTCCAGCCTGTGGCGAAGCTTGTTGGAAGTGACGCTGTGCCACTGGCCATCACAGAAGCTCTTGCCTGTAGGCACATGCTCTGCAGTGATTCTGCCAGCTCCGTTGTCAACATGGAAAAGCAGCTAAAAGAGAGAACATTTTAAAAGTACACTGGAGAATGGGACAGTTTATTGTTAATTTCAGCAAACTAGAATTGATTAAAAACCTTTCATATCCAATAGTGTTTTGCCATTCTTGCCTTTATTTGAAAATATCCCACCATCAAGGGACAAGTTTATACCTTCAACCATATGGTCAACTTAATCTTGGACATACAGATATCCTCAAATGATTCAGATTTTAAGGCAAGCTTTTCTAGAATTATGGGCAACATTTCACCCTCCTGTAGTTGACGCATCTAAAACTACAAACCTATTTAAATATAGAAGGCTAGTACAGTATATCTATTCCAAGTTAAAACTGTTAAAGATAAAAATGAGGAATACATCTGATTAGCTGTTAGCCTGCACCACAACGATTTTATTACAAGCTCCGTGCTACAGAAATTCCACTTAACACACTATAAAAACGTAAACACATTTTAAATAAAGATACTGTTGAACAGATGTTCCGATTAGAGTAGACGACTGATAAACCATTTGGAAGCTGCAGATAAACTGAAAAGCCTGATAAATCAGATCAACATAGTGGATGTGATTCACCGGTCACTTTGTAAAGTTAGAATCTCTTGCTTTTTCTTAACCGTTTCCCTGTCTGAATTTTTGAGCTTTGTACACCAGCAGGTTTTTATTTTGGCACAATAAAACGGCTCTACACATTGGTTTAAGGACTACAAATGGTGTGCAATATGTCTCTCCTAAAGGAAAACATGATTTTTTCATTTTTACATAGAAACAAGTATTGATACAATTGGAATTCTAAATGTATCATCAAAAATTTACAATTAAAAAAGTTTTAAAAGAAGACTCAAATGACCGAAACCTATACATTAAAAAACTATCATTGAAGACCTGGACAAATTCAGGACTTTGAGAGCCAGAAAATTAATTATGTGCATAAATCTTAGGAACAAGTAGTCAGTCTGTCTCAAGCAAAACAGTATTAGTTAAGCTGTCCAGCACAAAATGTTACAAATTAAATCCAGCCTACATACAGGACTAGCACAGTGGGTTGTAGTTGGATTATTCCAGGACAATAAAGGGATTTACAGTTTCTGCATTTAACCCATCCCATTGGGGAGCAGTGTGGGATTAAGGGTCTTGCTCAGGGACTCGGAATGAGGGGGACTTCAATTCAATTCAGTTTATTTAAGCACCAGAACATACAGTCAGAAGGTAATCCCTCACACCAAACATGCGACAGTGGAGAGGAAAAACTCCCTTTCAACAGGAAGAAATCTCCAGCAGAACCAGATTCAGTGCGAATGGCAATCTGCTGAGACCGAATGGGGTTCAAGGAGACATACAGAAAGAAGAAACTTGTCAACCAGCTCCACAGGCTGGTTGACAAGTTTCTGACTTGAACTCAGAAACTCCAGGACCCACGCGCAATGCTCTAACCACTAGGCCACCACTCCCCAGCTTAGAGATAGAGGGAAGAAGCTAGACTACCTTGCCTTCGACGATTTCCAAACCCAGTCCATCATTGCCTTGGTTACTGACCGCCAAGAGAACTCCACTGGTTTTGCTGGTTCGAAACTCAAGTGCTATTGATACGTCCAGACCCACTCTATAGGAGGATACTAAAAGGAGAAAAATAATAGATCTTTAGCATTAGTATTTATTTCAAAGATGCATATAAATAGTTTGAACTTTTTTTTTTTTTTGCTTGTTGGCCAACTTTTCTTGCAGTGAACTCACCTGCTTTCAGATATCCAGTGCCATCAAAATAGGTTCCTGTTTCAGTAGCAACAAAACATTGTCCAACCATGTGACTGGAGTTGGGTGCAGACATGTCCAGTTTAAAGTCTTCAATTACTTCAATAGGAACCAGGAAGGAGAGGAAAAATATGTTTTAATTAGATTCACTGCAATTCAACAGAAAAATGTGTTGAATTAAAAAATATGCATTAGTCCATACCTGCTGGAGCTGACCTAGCGCTGACAGGACCTCCGCTCATCATTAAGTTCCGGATACATCCATTAATACTGTAGACAATCTGCAGACAGAAACAAAAAGATTTACATTTATAACTGTATTTATCCCTGCACATTCAGCTGATTGATGTAAAAAAAAATATAAGTACTTACTGGTCCTATGCGTTTTGTGGTGTAATTCTGTGGTAATCCACCAACATACACCATTCCAACCACATCTAAAAGGTCCGCCTGGTTTAGAAAAAAACAGTACAAAAACCTATAAAATGCATTTAGGCAAAACAAAAGGTTCAAAGTTCTTTAATAAAGGCACTTAAGTCTGCCTCAATATCAAAGCTTGATTAGTGAAAGGCAGTGCTTACCGTCTTTGGACTAAACAACTGTTTTGTATATTTACGCTCAACCGCCAGCACAGCTCTCTGCTTGGTACGTTGCACACGGATCTAACCAAACAAGAGAAAAAGCATCAAGCATATTAAACCAAAAAGCAAAAAAGTTTAATGAAAATGCAAAAGGAACAAATTTTAAGCTGCAATATAATAGTGTTCTGCTCTGTGAATGCAACTATAAGCCGCCCTCACTACATTTTTTGAAAAAACTAGAAACGTACATATATAAGCCCCACCAGGCTATAGGCTGCTGATATCTACTGAACTGTCTCCCACCAAACCTGTAGGGTGAGCTTTACATATAGCCCCTGAAGTCGGGACGAAGTTAGCTTGTTGGCTCGCAGCAGTAAGAGGTTCAACTGAAAGATGGGGCTTCGCCAACTCTTTATTTCAGTTCTGCAGGTGTTAAGCCCAGTCTCTGCATTGGTTGGGCAGCTTTAATGAGGCAAATGTCAAAATTTGTGAATTTGGGACATTTGTACTCAATCGTGCCAGCTGCTAGCATGTTGTTTTGCTAAATGAAAATTATCCCCTTATTCTTTAATTTCCAACTTTGACTCCCCCCCCCCCCCCGGCAGTTAGGAAAAATCCACAGAGAAGCCGCACCTTCTTATAAGCAACATGGTTTATGTTCATGTTGCATATGTAATAAGATATAAATGTAATACACACAGACATACATATACATATACACATATATATATATATAAAGCATAGAGAGACTTACATTGTGCCAGTTACCATCATTTATGGAGAAGGGAACGCAACCAGAAATGTTTCCATGACCAAGATCGTAACCAAGACAAGCTTGTCCCTCCTTGATCTACAAGCAGAGAAAAATAATAGTAAACATGACAAGAACTTTGTACAATATACTGCAGCTTTTTTGTCTTCAAGTCTTCTGCATTGTCTAATGATGGTATTTTATCTGTGTGCTTAGAACTCTAATATCCTATTGACTTCAAGAATATAAACTCTTAATCTGATTGACTGCATTAGAACAAAATAACTATACCTGGATGGAAACAAAGTCTGCGTGGTTTATTCTCGCCATATAGAGCACAAGGCCAGAAAGCTCTTTTGTCCTCAGCTCAAACTCCAACAGCAGCCTAAGACAAAGCATACAAGCAGACATTTTCGTTTGAATCCATTTACTCTTCAGCGTTCACAATAAAATCTATCCAAAATGCTTTTTGTGTATTTGGGTAAGATTTTACTTGCACACATTTAATGATTTCAATATTATCTCATTTTGAATGGCGAAGAAGGGTTAGTTGTTGGGATTTTACCAGATTGTGGAGGATTAGAATGTTGATCTGACAGATTAGAGAGATGATGGGACATTATGTCTACTGCTTTTTGTGCCTTTTATTTGGTTTTATTTTCATCCCTTTCTTGGAGCTTACACCACCTCTTAGATATTGGGCACGAAAAATGCTGTTTTTAAGGATTTCCATAGATCGTATTGTTTTGAATGTAGCATTAGATGGAGCCATTCCTGTCAAGTTTTGGATTTAAAAATAAGAAACATTTGATGAAATCAGCTGCATGTTGCCCCAGTGAAGCTCCAGTATCCATTACACTGTGCTTTCTTTCTACATTTCTTAAATCTCTACCTAGTTCAGTGCACTTGAATATAATTAATAGCTCATTACCATGCCTCTGCAGAATATGATGCTACTCTGAGGAGGTTATACAGCGATTAATTCAGCTCTGTAGAATTTATTTCTTACAAGGAATGAGTCAGTCTTATCAAATTTATCTTCAAGATTAATAGTTTCCTGACTCATACATCCAAAACATACACACCACTGGCTCTTTTGGACTTGAGGACATTTTTGGATAATAGTATATTCCTTCTATATTACTGTAACAACAAAGTATGTCATCATTTTGCCCATTATCAATTTCAAAATGACCACAGCAAAGATATAAAAAAAGGATTTGTTCTTATTTTTTGGCCTAAGTCCACTGTTAAGGTAATATATATATATATATATATATATATATATATATATATATATATATTTAAAATGACTTAAAAGTGTAATAACTGCAGCCAGTGCTGTAACATAACGAATACAGTAAATACCAATATATTTCTTGGAAATTAAATATTCTTTTTGACTGGACACTGATTTAAAGTCCAGGATTTTTCTTTTTTACTATTCTTTTGGTTATCACATAAAATGCCACTGCAATACAATGAATGTTGTGGTCGTAATAAGACAAAATTGAAATCTTAAGGGAATGAATACTTTTGTAGGACAGTGTCAGTGCTAAGGACAGGAAGGTTGAACATTTGCAAAACAAAAAGCAACAAGTAAGACACTAAAATAGATGCAATTTCTCCTTTCTTAGATAAAACAAAACAAACGTTTGCTTTGTGTCTAGAGAGTGGCTCTAAACCTTGCAGGTTTCCACCATAAATGCACACGCATAAAGGGACTACATTTATGATCAGTCAACTTGTTTATTTTTTCAAGATTTCAGACCACTGACCATTTTTATGTGTTTATAGGAATCTTATCCAGTCAAAACCCATCTCTCACTGGGTTTGCATTTTTTACATGTAACATTTGACAAGTAGATATCTGTGGGGTTATTTAACCATTTCTTGCTTGTTCTGAGAGTTAATACCCTCAGAACAAGCAATGTTGCTTCTTGTTCTGTTAGATGTGAACGTTTGTTAAAAAAGAAATTCATGCATGTGAAAAAAGAAAACAAAATACCCAGAAAATGATGATTAACTTCAAAACTTACTTCTCTCTGACTTTAGTGTCATCAAAGGCGAAGCTCATGTGACTATTCCTGGTCAGTCCAAACTGATATGCCTTTTCGAGTGATGTCGGGGCCACAGCTGATGCACACGAGTCCTGGAGATTGGACATAACATGTCAGCTCCACTGACAGGGTCTCACAACACTGCACCCATTTCCTCCTGTCAACAGGAGCCTTAGCACCTGGGTTCAACACTTGCGAATCACACTAATTGGGTCCCTTCTTCTGAAATGGAAGTAACAGAAGCATTTGTGGGTCAACATTGGTTATAAAACAGCTTTTTATACAGTTAATATCTTAGATTGACTGTCAGCTAGAACCGCTTAGGATGAATGCACACAAAAATATTAAATTTACCATCCTGACCATCATATAGTACAATTAGCAACCTGAATAGTGACAGTAATGGTATTGTTTTAACAACTTACTTTTTTGTTATTTGGTACCTTAAGCTTTCTGACAAGTTCTACACATTTTTTCTTTATTTCATGAACAAAATTACTTATATTTTAAAATTAACTATGTTTTCCCAATGGTGTTTGTTCAGCAGTTTTCTTGAATTAATATTCTCTTTTAGTTATCCCAAATTGCAGCTCTGCTTTTCACCACAAGGTGTCATTGCTGTAACTTTCTAACCATCTTCCTCCCTTGTACTTCTTTTTAAATTCTGTCTCCTTGTTTAAACTTTCTGCTTTTAAAGAGTTTTATCTGGATCTGTCCCCACTTTTAACAAAAAAAAAAAAAAAAAGAATCCCTTTTGAAGAATATCTAACCTCTCCTCTGTGGCTGTTAAGCATTTCTATGTTCCTGCTTTCCAATTTCCTTATCTTTGTAATCGACAGAAATGTTCTCTTTTTGTATCTGCCATCTTTTTTCTTTCCTTCCCCCATCCTGCGTCCCATTCCAAAACCTTTCTTAAGTACCAACAGCTTTCTCTACAATATACTAAACTAGTTTTGCGTTGGTTATAGAGCACCATTTTCTTTAACCATATAAACTTTCTCAATTTCTTTGAACAAACACATACCTTATATTTAATTAACCTTTATCAAAGCAATGTTATATGCATACTAATTCAGTCTGACTCAATAAGTTGCTACTACTACCACTTGAAGTCTTTTGAGGATATATTTTTTCAACAAAACTTTACACATCTAAGGACTGAAATTTTTACCAAGTCTTCTTTACAAAATAGCTTATGCTCAGACTGTATGAAGAGAATCTTTCAACACATATTTAAAGATTTGACACAGATCTTAGTCACTGATTTGATTGCAGCAGAAACTCAAGCTTTATGGTTGTGCTGCCATAGAAGTTATTTTTAATTACGTAGGATTAGGTCACCTTTGTATGGTGGTAGAGCTCAGAAATTAATGACTGTAGGGATCTATAAAATCTATATCCTGCAAACTTATACAATATTATTTATATAATTATTTATGTAACTACTTTACTTTGACCAAAACAAACTTAGACCAAGTGCAGGACAGAGTGCCCAAAAAAGGAGAAGACAGAGATGAGGTGAGCAACGTTCTGGAGCTCAGACAGCTGCAGCGGAAGAAAGAGCTCCATAACCGGGAAGAAACAACCACCTCTGCCTTCCACTGGTACCTCTAAGGAACCACAGTAGTGACTCAGGAGGAACACATTAATGGATCTGATTAGTTTGCCAGGCAAACAGAGCTCTGAAGGTGAAGAGGGGCTGTGGCCGACCATGAGGAGGACCATCGTCCTGATCTGTGCATCTCTAATGTAAACATTCCTCGTCATAAATTGACAAAGTTGATGCTGACATGTGAAGATGCGGGGGCGGTTTGGGTCGCTGCAGTTTGACCAATACGTGTTGCTAAAAATTTCACATTGCAGCTTTAAATATTGTGCCCCATAGTGTTTTACAGCTTTGTTTAATCGTTCCTCTCTTGTTACTTTCAATAATGGCTTTCTTCTTGCCATTTGTACATGAAGTGAGAAAGTTTTGGAGTGTACAAGAAAAAGGTTTTCTGTAAACAGGCCAACAATTAACCCATATCCTACTTTTCTGATAAATGCTTTGCTCCATACTTAAAAACTGAAATGGATGAATTCATCTTGTGAAGTTTGCAATGCATCCTTTACTTTTCATGTTCGCTGTATATCAATCTTTTGGATATTCAAAGCTTGGGATGTGGATTTACCTACATCTTAAACCTCCTGTAATCCTTTTCACTAATAAACTCCTAAAACATCTGATGTGCTCCTTATAGCCAATGATGCCATTTCTCTCAAATAAACCCTGGAATTCTCCTTAGAACAACAGTCTTTACACAGATTGGATGATACACAGACTGTTATTATCTGAAATCATTTGGTTGCAAATGATTTTATTTAAAGGTTAGAGTAAATTTTACCAAATAAAAATCTACACCACATGCTATTTGTATAAACATTATGAAACCATTATCAGTTTGTTTTGTGTTCAATATTATGCACCTATTTATGCTGCTAAAATTACATTTAACTTCGTGGTTGTGAAGAATTTTGAACAATTTGGGGAGAAACTGCAGGTAATAACTATATTATTAAAAGATGCAGCTAATTTTCTTTCATCCTTTGGATGTATGAGAGAAACATAAAATAGAATTAAAGAGTATATGTCTCAGTGGCTAACCCTCTTGTTCTTTTTCAGGTAAAGACATCCCCTGCTTGTGACCTTGCTTTGTTACAGCTGACTCTCACCTCTTATCTCATTCTGTCCTCATATTTGCTGCTCCTCCTCTTCAACCCCCTTTTCATTTTGCTTTCTTATGTTCCCCGTCTAACAAAAAGGAGACGTCACTTTTTCAGAAATCCTTCTCCTTCGATTCTTTCTGAGCTCTAGTCCTCCATCTTTCCATTAAGCCAACAAAAGACCAGCAACGCTCTGTTCAGAAAGACTCTCCCTCTTTTTATCATTTCCTCCAAGGCTGTACCTTTTTTGTCTACTCTGTCTTCTTCCTTCTATCCTCTTTCATCCTTCCTTCTTGTCCATTCTGCATCTTCCCATTAAGCTAACAATAGAAATGCAGCTTTTCTGTTCAGCCCTGTCATTGGAGGTCACACCAATAGAATCAGAAAACATTTAATCAGAAGTGCGTGTACTGTATGCACATAAGCATGTAGAAGACCTTCCAACACAGGACAGCAGGATTCGGAGGAAATTATTGAGCATCTACATACTCTGCAAAGAGTTTAAATGTTTTTCTTTAGAATTTTATAAATATAATTGATATCCAGAAATTTACAATTTAGGATAAATAAGTACATTTATATAACCTGAATGGCTATTCAGCAGACATGCCTTGTGAAAAAGCAAACATTGGTTCTCCTCCCATTTGCTATCCATTGTTAATGTTTTGATTAAATTTGGTTATAGAGCTTGTTTGAAATTGAGAATTGTATAACATTAGTTATCAGTGTCACTTTTCTCATGAAAACAGAGGAAGGAAAAGCAATGTGGGCTTCAACACAAATAAATGGCAGCACATTGGGGATCGATAAGACTGATTCTAAAATAAGTGTCATCCTTAAGGGAAAAACCTTAACGGTTGATCTCTAGTCTTTATGTACTTCCCTATCCTTTGAAAATCAAAAACAAAAAAACATCTATATCAGTGGTTCTCGATCCTGGTCCTTTAGTACCGATGCCTTTATTTGCAGTGAGGAAAATAAGTATTTGAACACCCTACTATCTCCGACTTAGAAATGGGAGTCATATGAGACCAAAATAGAACCTTTAAATTAACTGTGTTTGGAGGAAGAAGAATGATGACACCATCCCTACAGTGAAGCATAGGGTTGGTAGTATCATGCTTTGGGGGTCTTTTTCTGCACATGGGACAGAGTGACTGCACTAATAAAGAATGAATGACCGGGGCCATGTATTGCGAGATTTTGGGGAACAACCTCCTCCCCTCATTTAGAGCATTGAAAATGTATGGAGGCTGGGTCTTCCAAAATGACAATGACTCGGAGAACACAGCCAGGATAACCAAGGAGTGGCTCTGGAAGAAGCATATCAAAGTTCTGATGTGGCCTAGCCAATCTCCAGACCTAATCCCAATAGAGAATCTTTAGATGGCTCTCAAACTCTGTTTCTCAGCGACAGCCCAGCAACCTGACTGATCTAGAGAATATCTGCGTGGAGCAGGGGGCCAAAATCTCTACTACAATGTGTGCAAACCTGGTGAAAAACGACAGGAAATGTCTGACCTCTGGCTACTGTACCAAATATTAACCTTGACTTTCTCGGGTTTTCAAATACTTATTTGCTGCTGTATGATAAAAATAAATCGTTTAAAAAAAAAAAAAATATCACACATTATGATTTCTGTATATTCTTTTTCTGATTCTGTCTGACAGTGGACATGCACCTACGATGACAATTGCAGACCCCTCCATGATTTTTAAGTGAGAGAACTTGCAAATTAGCAGGGTGTTAAAATACTTATTTTCCTCACTGGTAACACATTTAACAACAAAAAATGTTTCCAAAGTGCTATGCATGAAAACAAACAAAAAGCCACAAGCCACACAAAAATGCAGTAAGAGTTTAAAACAAATAAATAAAAAGGGCACAGAGGACCACACAATTACGCTATGTTAAAGCCTTGGTCTTAAGACGAGGCTTAAAACACTCCACTGTGGAGGCTCTTCGTATATGGAGGAGCAAAGTATTCCTAAGTGTTGGGCCAACTACAGAAAAGGCTCTGTCCCCTCTGGTTTTTAAGCCTCGTCTTAGGCATTATTAGCTGAACATGGCCCTCAGACCTCAGAGCATGTGCCGGAGAGTAAATCTGAATGAGGTTGGTACTGTATTGAGGAGCCATCTGGAGGCTTCTAAGATCATGCAATGATTTGAATCAAAATGCTCCAACAGAGAGATGTCTAAAGCATCAAGGTGAATGGTACTTGAGGTGCAGGTTTGAGAATCACTGATCTAAAATAAATCTATCCAAACATAAATAATCATTGCAAGTTTGCCAGATGGCTACTGGTTTTATTTAATGGCTAATGTTCAGGGTACATCCTGGAAAAAAAAAAAAAAAAAAAAAAAACACATTCTCACAATGGCCAGCAAAGACACACATGGAGCAGACAAACAACCAGGGACAGTTCAGAGTGCCTAAGTAACATTAATTTTTTATAGTCCTTAAAGGCCAGACACAGGGAAAAAGTCACAATTGGGTTTTAAACTGCTGACTTTATTGCTGCGAGGTAGTGGTGTCGATTATACAGCTGTCAAATCAGCCCTATATACAGTTAAGCCCAAAAGTGTTCATACTCTTAGCAGATTTTAATTGATATATATTTTCATTTAAACTACAGCCAAGAAAAATTTTTTTAATCATTTTTTAAAAGATTTTTTATCATCATTTCATTTATGTTTGCAAAGAAATACTGCCTTACTCTTAAGTTACGTTGAATATTTTCCCATCAATTTCTTCCGATTATGCTTTGTAGAATTAGGAAAGTATCCCTAATGCTATAGAAGTACAGACAGGAAAATACAGAACCTAAATTTTAAAGGATTTCTGTAAACATACTGTAAATGCATAGCACTTTGGAAAAATTTTTTGTTGTTAAATGTGTTACCAGTGAGGAAAATAAGTATTTTAACACCCTGCTAATTTGCAAGTTCTCTCACTTAAAAATCATGGAGGGGTCTGCAATTGTCATCGTAGGTGCATGTGGGCGTAATATCAATATTTTTATTAAATGTGGAGTGACCGTGCAATAATAACCAGCATGTTAAATTTATTTTTTTTAAAAAGCATTGAAACTGTATTTTTCTAGTTATTTTAACCTAAGTCTGTAAAATTTTTGTTCCATTCGACATATACACATACACTTATATCGGCTTTAAAAAGGGGCGGAGATCCAAAAAGGGAGAGAAAACCTTTGAGATAGATTTATGGTTGAAGCTGTTTTTATAAAAATGTTGCCAAATATACTATTAATATAGATTAAGAGAAGTATGCATTAGTTTGTGAGTGAGTGTATACCGGGTCTATAATGGGATCCAGTTTAGCAGTGGGTGTTGCTACAGCAGCAGGCGAGATGGGTGTGGCAGCAGCTGGGACAGGGGGTGTGGCCTCCTGCAGGTTAGCCGTAAGAATAGAAAGAGTTTAATGACAGCCACAGAGTAGAAGCAGAAAAAGCACAAACAGCAAATGGAAGCAATGTCATTAGGAAATGTCAAAAAGCTTATTGCTAAATCGAGACAGAAATAAAAAAAAAATAATAATTCCAATATAATAAGCACATTTTTAACTAAAATAACCCATAGGACAATTGACTGATTGAAGGAAACTGTAAAGATCTCTGTAACAACGTGAAAAAATTGGTTTATCAGAATTTCACATAGCACAAAAAGCTTCCTTTTATCTTAATTATGTTAAAGGGTACATCTGCAACTGTGCAGTGGTGTCAAAAAGGTGTCTTAGGTATAAAATTTGCCATTACTGAATAATATTTAGCAAAAAAAAGTGGATATTTGTTTATTAAATGAAAATTGTGAATTTATAATTACCCCCAGCTTTGTATAAATGTTATTTGAGGTGTGACCTGAAGCGAACAATTAACAGAGTTGGCTGAGTGATCAATGGGGCTGAAAAAAAATGCAAAACAGTAACCTCTATTTTCCTGTCGTAGAAACAAAAAATATATCAGTCAATAAAGAAATGTAACACATGGTGGATGGAGCAATAGATATAATGAATTAGAGGCAGGTGAATCAGGCAGGTGTCTGCTTAGCAGTGAAAGGAGATACCATGTTTTGTAAAGCCCGGGACACACTGTGCAATATTTTTAATCGTTGCTTGCAGCCCCAACTAAAATTGTGCGAACCATCTGCATAGTTCAAAGGTTAACAAGTGGCTATGAACGATCTCAGAATGTACACACCGACGCTCGGACTGCTCACATCCTCAGTGACAGGTATGAGTCCTGAACAATCCCAACATGCAAAGCAATAAATAGAGGTAGTTTGTAATAGATAAAGGTTTACTTCCGGCCGATTCTCAATTCATAAGAATGCAAGTATGTACTCCTCTTGCCCATATGTGACTCCTCTCCAAGTCACATATGGGCAAGAACACAGGAAGTAAGTACTGTGAGAGAACGGGAGCACGTAGAACAAATCTGTGTGAATTGGAACATCGGCTCATCTGGATATGCATTTTACATCATATTAATAATAATTTTTTTCAATTTTTTTTAGTATGGTAATAATCATTAAACTGTGCAGCTATCTGCACTTGTATTGAATATACAATACCTTATTTAAATGTTATCATTTTATGGTATTCCAGCAAGTATTTTGCAAATAAACAGTCATAATCAGTCAGATAAATGGAAATCAGATGAACATTTTGCCAAATAAGAAACAAAAAAAACTGCCAACGGAGCCAGCGGTACGTACTTCACACACAATCTGGCTGTGGTTAGCCTTGGAGGTCTGCTGGTTACCATGGTCATTTCAAGGTTGAAACATTTTTTTAAATTACATACTAAATCAATAAAGGGGCCATAAAGTAAAGCTAAAAATTATACTTTTCTCACTTCAAATTATCTTAAAACGTACTTTTGTAGACCGATAGCAGCAGAACTTTTAACTTGTACTCTGCCACAGTGCATGCTGGGACAGCTGTCAGTCTGAAGAATGCACAAGTCTGCTCTAATGCCTGCTTGGTGAAGAGGGAGGGGCGAGAACAACATCCGGGGACTTTGTCGCTTCAACATGTAATTCACTCATGAGGCACGACAAAATCTTTAACCGGTTTGATTTTCTTGCGACCCACGATTTCTGATCGGGAGCTCCTGACCCCCTTGTAAATTACACTGAGCACAATTTGGCCGAGTCAACCCTATCCTTAAACTTGTTGCATTACAGGAAAATCGTCTCAAAAATCGCACAGTGTATGCAGGGCTTGAGAAAAGAGCTTAAAGCGGGCAGTTATAGAGAAGAAAGGGGGAGGACCAAGATATGACCCCAGAGCATCCTACAAGAAGAGGGGCCGGGTTGGAAAGAAATGATAAAGCATTAACTGCACTCTTAATACAAACCCAGTGTGTTGCCTTCAAGACTATAGTACTGTGATCCACAGTATAAAACAAACAAACAAAGCTGGGGGCTGCAGGAGTTGTTTGTTAAAAAGGATGTCAATAAAAATGCACATTATTAGAACCAGACTGGAAACAGAATGACATTAGTCTTCAAAGGAGCCTTCAAAATAATAATAGAAATTCACTCCTTTATCTTTGGAATGACTTTGAGATTAATGTAGTTAAAATGATTATTTGTGTTATTGCCTCAAAACAAAAACATTCTGCAGTTAGGTTAAGTTGACCTTTCAATATTATCACATATGACAGATTTATTATGCTGGATATTTGATAAACATGTGTCATGATTAAAAGCAACACCTTTTGATGATTGGTAATGATCGTTCCTGGGATCTTTGAGTTTAGAAAGTATCCTTTAGGGGAGTCTTTAGAAATGACTGCACAGTAATACTGCTGATATAAACTGATATTGTGAATAAAAAGAGTGCCAAAGATAAAAAAAAAAAAAAAAAAATCAACACAAAGAACAGTTTGATGTGTTTCATACCGAACACCATTTTGGCTCAACAGGAAGAACAGTTGTCTAGCAATCCAAAAGGTTTGGGTGCAAGTCCAGCCTTCTCCTGCTACATGTTGACGTTTCCCTACTGATCACTGAATAAATGTGTGCAAATTTCTGATTGTGAATGGATACATGTGGCTCTAGTGTAAAGTGCTCTGAGTGGTTGATATGACTAAAAGTGCAACAAAAATACTTTCCATTTACGCAGCAATAAAACCATACATTCCAGTCACTAAAGTCTTACAAACTATGCCTTCTCACATTCTGCAGTCTATATCATAAAAGCAACATGCAGCCCATAAAGGAACAAACCCCTGAGTTATAGCTGAGGTGGCACAGTTCTTTAGCTCTTGGCTACATGATCAATGTCCTTTAAGAGGTGTAGTTTAGCAGCAAAGTGAGTATCAGATAACCTGCGGCTAATGCAAGATATTTATTAAAGAGCTCTTGTCTTCCCCAATTCAAAGAGTTTGTATTGAATAGCTCACTGGCTGCCAGGTTCTTAGCATAGCTGCTAAACGTTAGTGCAGAGTGTTTGGCTCCTGTGCGCTCATAAAATATAAATGACATGCACAGTTAGCCTAGCGTAATACTATGGCTCTGCACCGCCTGACAAGCTGCCAAAGGTGGAGTTTAGTGACTCAAGGCTAAAACGACCATAAAGAAGAGTTAATGGGCTGTACAAGTGCTGTGTGATAAATCTCCAGGGAAGCACAGTTTGCCATGGGTGTGTTTCATCAGAAAGAAATAGGATCATGTTTGTGTTTAAGTTACACCTCTAACAGTGAAAAGTAAATAATATAATGGGACTCGGCATCTGTTCATTCCTTCAAATAAGTATAAATTATTTTTCAAATGACATGAGTAAATAAAAATATTATATGGTCATAAAGTATTTAAATGCTGCAATTATAAATGCCCTAGTCTTAAACATGTGGAAAATCGTCATTGATAAACTGAAGTTATCACCTCTAGTGTCTATTCTGCATGTATAGTAAAATTTCTGCCAGTGGCTACTAGTCCAACTGTGTGAATATTCCCACTTACCTCTGGACCACTAGGAGGTGGTGTTCCAGGAGCTGGGGGGACTGTAGGATGGAGTGGTTTTAAATCCATTTTCTTTTCCTCAGTTTTCTCTTCTTCTGGTAGAGGAGGGAGAGGTGGTGGAGGAGCGAGGTTTGGACACTGACCAATTTCAGCATTTTCAAAGGAAACCGGCTGAGAGAAATCTGAGAGACTGAAACATAGACATGCAATTAAAAGGAAGACTACATGGTAAGATGAACAGAGAGAAGCAACATAACAGGATAAGACACTCAGACTTTAGATTATTTTCTTAACACAAGAAGCACTTTACAGTTCAACAATTCATTGTTTCTTAGATTTATAGTAATTCTTGATGGGCATTTTTAAATTCTTTTAATATATATTAAAAATTGTTCTCATTATTTGTATTTTTTTATTTCAATACGCCATACATTTATATAAAAACAATAATTTAGAAACAATTGTCAACATTCCTTTATCCCATTTATTTGTATCATTTGTCTAATTGTCAGATTGATGTTTTAAGTATGAAATGAGAAGAATCCTACTTGTTTACTTGTTGTTAGGAGTTTAGCATGTTAGGGTACAACTCTCTTATTATTTTTAATGTTATTGGCATCCTTTTCAACCTATTGGTGTTTTAAAGCTGGAATGATTCATCAAAGGCATTTATGTAGTCATGTGTTTGTCAGATAACGCCCCCCCCCCCCAAAAAAAAAAAAAAAAAAAAAAAAAAGTAGTTACCAAAGGTAGTTAATATTTTCAGGAACTTTAATCTGAACATCGCAGTTTACTCCACACTATGTGTGATAGAATTTTAGTTTCTCTTTTTAATTATTTTGTTTTAAACTATAATGGGCTATTAACCACAGAGGCAGAACTTTTGGCTCTGGATGCAGGGTCCACGCTATTCTTATGCCAATGCATCCTCCTCATCACTCCAACAACATGCTGGAAGCACTTTGACAGCAGCTAATTAAACCAGGTGTTCATGAGCAGCTAAGATAAGCAATGCATGATCTTCACACTGATAAATACAGTAGTGTGATCAGAACTCTTGCATACATACACTGAAGCCCCAAACTACAGGTGCTGGTCATAAAATTAGAATATCATGAAAAAGTAGATTGATTTCAGTAATTCCATTTAAAAAGTGAAACTTGTATATTATATTCATACATTACATACAAACTCATATATTTCAGATGTTTATTTTGTTTAATTTTGATGATTACAAATGACAACAAATGAAAATCTCAAATTCATCATATCAGAAAATTAGAATATTACTGAAGACCAATAAAAACAAAGGATTTATAGAAATGTTGGCCAACTGAAAAGTATGAACATGAAAAGTATGAGCATGTACAGCACTCAGTATTTAGTTGGGCCTCCTTTGGCCTGTATTACTGCAGCAATGCGGCGTGGCATGGAGTCGATCAGTCTGTGGCACTGCTCAGGTGTTATGATAGCCCAGGTTGCTCTAATAGTGGCTTTTAGCTCTTCTGAATTGTTGGGTCTGGTGTATTGCATCTTCTTCTTCACAATACCCCATAGATTTTCTATGGGGTTAAGGTCAGGAGAGTTTGCTGGCCAATTAAGAACAGGGATACCATGGTCCTTCAACCAGGTACTGGTAGCTTTGGCACTGTGTGCAGGTGCCAAGTCCTGTTGGAAAATGAAATCTGCATCTCCAAAAAGTTGGTCAGCTGCAGGAAGCATGAAGTGCTCTAAAACTTCCTGGTATGTGGCTGCGTTGACCCTGGACCTCAGAAAACACAATGGACCAACACCAGCAGATGACATGGCACCCCAAACCATCACTGACTGTGGAAACTTTACACTGGACTTCAAGCAACGTGGATGAAGTGCCTCTCTTCTTTTCCTCCAGACTCTGGGACCTTGATTTCCAAAGGAAATGCAAAATTTACTTTCATCAGAGAACATGACTTTGGACCACTCACCAGCAGTCCAGTCCTGTTTCTCTTTAGCCCAGGCAAGACGCTTCTGACGCTGTCTGTGGTTCAAGAGTGGCTTGACACAAGGAATGCGACAGCAGAAACCCATGTCTTTCATACGTCTGTGTGTGGTGGTTCTTGAAGCACTCACTCCAGCTGCAGTCCACTCTTTGTGAATCTCCCCCACATTTTTGAAGGGGTTTTGTTTCACAATCCTCTCCAGGGTGCGGTTATCTCTCTTGCTTGTACACTTTTTTCGACCACATCTTTTCCTTCCCTTCGCCTCTCTATTAATGTGCTTGGACACTGAGCTCTGTGAACAGCCAGCCTCTTTAGCGATGACCTTTTGTGTCTTGCCCTCCTTGTGCAAGGTGTCGATGGTCGTCTTTTGGACAACTGTCAAGTCAGCAGTCTTCCCCATGATTGTGTAGCCTATAGAACTAGACTGAAAGACCATTTAAAGGCTTTTGCAGGTGGTTTGAGTTAATTAGCTGATTAGAGTGTGGCACCAGGGGCCATCAATTTTGAACCTTTTCACAATATTCTAATTTTCTGATATGATGAATTTGAGATTTTCATTTGTTGTCATTTGTAATCATCAAAATTAAACAAAATAAACATCTGAAATATATGAGTTTGTATGTAATGTATGAATATAATATACAAGTTTCACTTTTTAAATGGAATTACTGAAATCAATCTACTTTTTCATGATATTCTAATTTTATGACCAGCACCTGTACTTATGGTTCTGGCAGATTATACTTCTTTAATATTCTATTTAGTGAAGAACTCTTGACTGGACATGAGACGCTTTTCTCGTAACATTATTTGTAAAAGAAGTAAAAAGTCATAGATGTTTATAAATGTATGTAAAATAGGACAATTAAAAAAATTCAATATTCTAAATAAGCACTGCTGATAATCTTAATTGGTAATACAGAGATTCAACTCTTTGTATAAATTCTTTCAGCATGGTATTATGGTAATTTGTCTTTGCTTATGATTTTAAGTCATGGCTCAGGAGTGGCTCCCTATCCCTGGGTTGAAAATTATTCTAGGCCTTCCAACATAAAAGATGTGGAGCTTATAACCAAAGTGTTTATTGGTAACATTTATAGATCAAACCAAAAATATCTGTAATAATTTTGGCTTGATTACAAAGATCAATATATACCGAAACCCCTGCTGAAGTAAGGCTCCTTTTTATAGGGAAAGACTCACACCTCCAAATTACTACGTGGCTCTCGGCCATATTTAGAGATAAGAAGGGAGCAGTAATGGAAAAAATCTGAATAACTATTCTGGATTTGCAGTTATTCAAAAGATGATATTTAAAAACCAACTTCAATGCTCCGAGCTTCAGTGTGATAAGCTTTAGAGTGATCAGCAAAAAACACACAGATAATGAGTTTTATATTCATGATTTTTACTGCACTCACGGGGGATGGGGGGTGGGCACTGATTAGATTTATCGTGCCTGTGCACTGAAACCTGTTAAAAAATAAGTCTTCCTTGGATGCACACAAGCTTCCTTCCAAACCTTATGGCTGAGGTAACTGTTTAACTAAACTGTTAGAGAGCATCCCCGTGCAGAACCGATACCTGCAGTAAAGATCTGTGTATATTATGGAGAGAAGCATGGAGAAAAAGACAAGTGAAAAAAAAACCCAAACAATTAAATGAGCCCTTACAGATTTACCAGATAACATTTTTTACCAACATGTGTTTTTTTTTTCCTGACTGGAAGCAAAATAAATGTTTTTCTGTGGCCCAGCCAGATTCCAAAATTCAATCAGTGTAAAGAAGTAAAGATCTGGGTTCTGGCAAATAGATCCTCTATAATCAATGAATTCAAGTTCTTCACCAAGGAAAACCAACTAAAATAGAAAAGGAAACTTTCTTTACCAAATTTATAAGAAGGGTTTGACTGCTGGAATGCCAATCAACATTTATACACTGTTTGTTGAGAACCATGTAATGATTTTTGCTTTTCTTTTGAGAAAAGCCAGTTGTATTTCCTATCAGAGACGATGTTTTTGGATGAAATACAATTATTTTGGCTTAACTGAACCTAATTTACAAACACAAAAAGTATCGAAAGCTTAAACTACTTTAAACAATCATGTTTAAATATTTTAGGGGGTCGTGGATATTGCTACTGTGATACTTTTTGTATGACACTTTTAGACAAAACAAATAAAATACCCAGCTGGGTGTAATTTAAGTAATAAAAAAAGTTTTGGATAGCAGAATATTTTTATACTGCTCAGGAATAGACAACAGCTTGCATCAACAGCAGCAGCAATACAGTTTGTGATCTCCTCCAATCATTCATTATCCTATGATTTAGTAATTATTGTTATTATTTTTTTAACGTCTTGAATAAGTGTTTTAGGCAGATATCACATATATGTTTGCCCGGGGGAACCCAAGGAAGGCATGCTAAGAAAAATAAAACAATAATAAAAGGACAGCATCCTCATTGAGTGACAGACTTTATGAAATCCGGATTTAGTTTGGTATCAAAGCACAAAGACCAAAATAAGCCCCCCTGACCAGCCACACTCCACCCCTAGCGAAGAAGGCAAAGCCAGGTCTTTCCCAACCTTAAAAACACAATCTTTTCAAGATGGTTAAATATAATACTCTCGGCATTATTGTCTGCCATGGTTGATGTTTTTCTTCCCGCTTCTGCAACTTCTGCAACCTGCGGCTCCGGAGACACTCTCCAGCAGCTCTTAATAGTGGCTAAAATGTATATAAAGAGCTCAATAATTTACTGTAATATATACCGGTATCAATAGCTTTAGCGTTTTTTATAAGATGGAAAAGAATGAGATTAAAAGAACCAGAAATATGTTTTAAGAGACATTTTTCTATGAATTAGCTTGAAAATTATACGTTTTAACATTTAGAATATATGAATTGATTAATTGAGATCGCAACAACTAATTTCTTACACAAGATTTAAAAAAAAAGGGTTTTGTAGAAAAAGTCATGGTATATTTTGCGGCTCTAAACAACTTTTATTTGGTCGTACTCTGGGCCAAACGGACCTTTGGATATGATAGATTGCAGACCCCTGGCGTGAAAAGACGCATAATAGGGACCTTTGTTGAGTGTTATTGACGTTTAGGTCGGATGAATGTGACTTGGCTTTTCACTAGGGGTGTGGAAAGAAATCCATTTGGTGATATATTGTGATATTCTGCTGCCCAATCTAATATCCATCAGTTCCTAATATCAATTTAAAAAACTTTTTTACCTAAATCAATGAGGGGAAAATGGACTACCTCTGCACCACCACTCTGATAGATGGGGCTATGGAGGTTTTTTACTGTACAGCACATCACCATCTCTGTAGCTGAAGCATTAACAGTGGAAGATGTGAACTGACTCAAACCCCAAACAACATGTATTCTGATGGACATATACAGCACTTACTTTTTATTTTGATAGCTGGGTAAAATATCGCAATATATAGTGATATTGCAATATTGTGATAATATAGTATCGTGACCCAAGTATCCTGAAATTTATTGTATAGCAACACCCAGGCCAATACTCACCCCTACTGTTCACACACACGCCACATTTAAAAAGATCAGATATGTATCGGATTCAGGACCACGTACCCAAGTGGCCTAGGTAACGCTGGAAAAAATCGTATCTGTGTTGTTTATATTGTCATGAGAAGATCAGATACAGTTCTCATATGGGCAAAAAAATGGGATTTGGGTCACTTCAACTTGAACGTAGCCTAAGAGGTCAAGAGAGAGAAATGCCTACCAAAGCATCTGCATCCCCAAACCAACTCAACAAACCTACAGGATCTAAAGCCACACATTTGAGTCTCCCATCAGCTGGGACATGACCCAAATACCAAGACAGATCCACATGGAACAACTAAAGACTCCAAGGCATTCCTTCCAACCAACAATCAGCATTTTCATAACTTAGGAGTTCAGTCTGTTCAAATAAACTGACTTTGTTAAGCCTACTTTAGGTGAGGTTCCTTTGTTTGGATGCAAACTTGGCAAAAGTACCCAGACCATTCAAAGAAATTGATTCTAAGTAGAATTCTTAATTAACTCTAGAGTGATGTGTTTTCAATGCAAAAGTAATTTGACTTTAATTAAAACATATCTATCAAAGAGCTGCTTTTTTCTAAACCATCAAGTCCTATGGAACTTGCAGGACATCTTCCACTTTTTAAAAATTTTGACAACATTACAAAAACAAAAACTACCTACATTGAATTAACCATAAGGTTCCATATGCATCCTTTGAATGGGATGTTGACTCTGTTAGATGTCCGCTCCACCTCTGGTGGAATACCACCAAGGAAAATGTGCCGCAGCCTCATTGGCTGGTCGTTTGGAAGCCCTGCTTCTCTCTTGGGTTCCTCATCCACCTGGACTGCAAAGGACCTGTAAGAGTCCAGACAAACTCAAATATAAATTGGAGCATTAATTAAGATTAAAACTGAAAAATATTGTCAGGAAAATGATGCATTTACCTTCCAGCCAGCCTTTCTATGCGCAGGGAATGCTCCCTGCCGTCATTCAGGTTTCCTTGGTCAGGCCGCCTGACGACACAACGCTGAGTATGACTGCCAGTATTTATGAGGACCTCCAGAGAGCCTTTGTTAAGCATAACTAAAAGGTAGGGCTGTAGGAGTTGGAGATAAAACATATTGGAGTGAAACATGCAGACAACTATCAGTTTACATCATGTGATTAAACAAATATCACAAGAAAATTAACAATTCTAGATTATACAAGTGATTAAAATCTTTGTTTTGATTCAACAATAGTCACATCAAACAATGTCCTGGTTAGAGAATTATATCAATAATATTTCATATAATGAAACATTAAAAATATTTTTAATGGGTTTAATAGACAATAAATTGTCCGAGTTAGACATTTATTTTTCCACTAAAGTTTCAACTGATCCCTGTTGACAGTGAAGCGAAAATAATTACAAACCTTTAACACTATTTTTTTCTAAAGCCTAATAGCATAACACAAAAAAATCAAATTTAAATTATTAAAAACTAAGCAAAGCCTACATTTTAAAGCAGTTGTAATCATTTTTTTCTTTCAAAGGGTCAGCTCAAGTAATCTAATTTAACCTTCACTAGATCTCTCAGGGACATTTCTATTTACATACAGAAAAGGCACAGCCTCAAACTTTAATTGTAGAGTATAAAAGAGGAATAAAGGAATGGAAATGATGGAAAAAAAGAGTAAACGGCTTAAAAAGTAAACAGGAAAAAAGGGTGACTGACTGGGGAGAAAAAGAAAACAACATGCAAGCAAGGAGGAAAGGATAAAAAGAGAGGAGAGGAGCCAACAGGAGGAGATAATGGGGGGAGAGATGAGAGGGCAGAGAGCAAAACAGTGAACTAGATAGAGATTGGGTGAGAGAAAAGGAGCGAGACAGCCACAGAGGTGCTAGAGAGCAGCGGTGCAGGGTCAGGCTAATTTGAATTTTAATTCACTGTGTGCCAGAGGGCGAAGTGGGAGACAATTTACCACCTGAAAATGGAATTTCAATTTGAGGTTGGGGACAAATTGAACTGAGATGTAGCTACATCATGGCTCTTGCTTCACCATCTCATACTCATACACTCATACAATGGGATGAACGAGCACAAACATGAACAGACATGTCAAGCGTATCTGAGGACGGTGGAGGTGTGAAAGAAAAAGTGAAAAATATATTTCAAATTAAAGTATACAACAAGTTTAAAGACCGAAAAATGAGGCAATAGGAACAAAAACCTTTCTGCAATAAAAATATGGAACAACTATAAATCTTGCAGAAAATATTCACGCACACCATTTACTGTAGACATTATCTTTTACCAGGGTTCAATGAAGAATTAAAAAATAAGGTGTTTCATTGTTATATTAGATGAGAAATTAACAAAAACTCCCATTTTTGAAATTTCAGGAAAAAGTATAATTATTTTTTTTTCAAAAAAAAAAAAAAAGTGGGTAATTATCTATCAACCTTTACAGTTATAGCCTGAACTAAAATGCAATGCAACCACTTGCCTTCCAAAGTCAACCCCCTGATTCATTTAAGTCACAGTATAAATCTATCTGCTCTGTAAAAGATTTCAAAAGTTTGCTAGTGAACAATCAATCATAAGATCATTATTGAACAATCTAGATCAAAAAGACAACAGATAAATCTGGGATAGCATGACACAGAGCACTTTGAAACAAAATATAAAAATGGATTTCATTAAGGGGTGCCTCAGTAAAGGGGACATAATACAGGTGCTGGTCATAAAATTAGAATATCATGAAAAAGTAGATTGATTTCAGTAATTCCATTTAAAAAGTGAAACTTGTATAGAATACAAGTTTCTGATATGATGAATTTGAGATTTTCATTTGTTGTCATTTGTAATCATCAAAATTAAACAAAATAAACATCTGAAATATATGAGTTTATATGTAATGTATGAATATAATATACAAGTTTCACTTTTTAAATGGAATTACTGAAATCAATCTACTTTTTCATGATATTCTAATTTTATGACCAGCACCTGTACTTCTCAACTGTAGATTCTTGGGGTAGGAGTAAAAAAAAATGCACAAAATTATTTACATTCTTAATTTAAATTACCCAACCCTCACAAAGACAAATCAATTGTAAAGCAACAGATCGAAAGATTTGAAGGCACAATGCAGACTTTGTGACCTAAAGAGTTGACACATACGAGTTATTTTAAATGATTCCTCAGGCCAGTATACAGGGTTTGACACCATCAATGCTATGAGCGGGGCTCCCCTCAGGAAATACCAACTATGTAAGCTAGGAGAAGACGCACCGTCATTGGCCCGGTCATGTGACCTGAAGGAACGTCTCGCTTTATGCTCTTATATTGTCATGGAGCTAAGGCTTTTGCTCTACCATCTTTTCTCCTGTTAGACTACTGGTCATTGCTGAGGCAAGGAAACTCTTTTAACCTTCTAAGGAGGCTAAAAAGAGAAAACAAAGAGTCGATCTTTGAAAGGAGTTTTTATGTGCATCCTGAAAGAAGAAGCCGGCTGTAAAGCAGATTCTATTTTCTTAACTTTATTATTAACCTGGTAAGTTAACACTTTGCTCCTGGTATACAGTCATATATCTTTATTATTTTCAGTGTTTGATAGAACAATATGGGCAGAGACAGCTATCAATCAAAATTTGCGTTGACTTTTTTGACAGTGCTTGTGGCCACTAGGGGCGCTACACGTGAAAGTTACAGGTCTAGTGCCCCTAGAGGCCAAAAGTTAAATGGTGTGCCTTTAAAGAGCATAAGTCCTTCCATTCACTGTCTAAATATTAAATGTTTTACAAATTCAGTGTTATTCTTATTTCAAATAAGTAACATTTTATTTTAATGTCTGACATAACATATGTAAGGTTAGACAAAGCAAGCTTTTATACCAATAATTTTTTAGAACAATCTGAACAGCCTAATATAAGCAGATTTTTACTTATTGGAAAAACATTTTTGTTTAGGTTTTTTTCTGACTTTGTTTATGAAACCTTGGTTGCACATTTATGAGAATATTGTGTCGCCTTATTCAAAGCTGTAAGAATCTTCTGCATGCTTCTGTATGTTTTCTAGTTTCGGTTTTCTAAATTCTACAACAGTCTCCCCTCTGGATTTGTCCTTTCTCCCTATCCTCTTCACTCCCTCTGCCCATCTCCAACCAGCCATTAGTCAAGGCCAAGTTGAGTTGATGGTGTTTTTAACCTCGCTTAACCTTTCTCCACACACATACCTGCACACACACACACACACATCGTGCCTGCCAGCATACTTTGTAAAAATAGATTTATGTGCCCAAAAACCATTGATGACTGATAAGCTATAGGTAACCCTATCCTCATTCTTCTCATCCTGCGCTCAATCTGTGATTTCCATTGTGTGATCAGTGGGTAAAAATGCACATTAAATTTAAAGTTTCTAATCTACATAAAAGGAAAACAAATGCATAGATAGAAATATAACATAAGAGAACTGTATGTTGACACAGCTATAACATTGTTCATGGATTAATGAAATGTAAAGGGACTTCACAGGAAGTTACACAGAGGTAGAAACATGAACATGTTAGACTTAGTTTCCTTTTTCATCAAGTGAATAACCTCGACTGTAAAGCTACCAAAAGAATAAAAACTAATTCTTATTCACCAATGGACATCAAATTTGTTTAGAGCAAAGTTGTATTAAAAACGACTTCATCAAGCTGCTTCATTTTATCTTTGATGGTTTCAGCTGCAAACATCACAGCTACAAAAAAAAAACTTCTGCAGATTTTAAAATTGATGTTTCTTTAATAATAATAATTGAATAATTTCACTCTGGAGAAATTCACCTCTGCTTTCGACCTATCCCATTGGGGACTGCTCCCCTTTCCCGGGGAGCAGTGGGCTGCCATTGTGCAGCGCCCGGGGAGCAGAGTGGGGTTAAGGACCTTGATCAGGGACCCAGAGTGCAGACTGTAGGGATCGAACAGGGAACTTGCTACCTTCTCAGAACACAAGCACACTGCTCTAATCACTAGGCCAACACTCCCCCTGACTCATTTATACCTACTTTATACAGTAGGTATAAATGAAGTGCAGAATTTGGACAAAAACAACTCAATCAGCCAACATTAAATACAAATGACATTAATAAGCACTCATGTAAGCATCAATAACTTAGGGGAACAGATCCAGTATGAACTTACCTCTCCTGACTGTCTTCGTCTTCTCTTTGAATTTAAGTTTGGACGGCGAGGCTTTATAGAAAAAAGGAAAAAAAAAATTTATGAGAACAAAGTTAGATCCTTGAAGTTCTTGTTTTTTCTCCACTGGGTGACTGTTTCAATACAAACATCATCCATGTGTGTTTGTGTAAGAATTTCACAGAATCATGGGGTTATTTTTTTGAAAATAATTTTGTCCACCTTAATTTCTTTTTATTGAATTACAACTGTAATGCCTTTATGAAAGGAAAAGTCTAAGAAAAAAATTAATATAACATGCATTTTCTTTTATCAACATTAAGAAATATATAGCCAAATTTATACACTAATGTCTTACTAAAAAATGTATCAGTTGTGCTTTAGTTTTATCATTTGGAGAATTATGGGTCAAAAGTCTGAAATACTAGCAAAAAAAACAACAAAACAAAAAAACTGTTTTTAAATTTGCACAGAAAATTACAGCATATTAGAAATAAGATCAAGATTAGAATTCGCTTTTAAAGCTCCTATCCATGACAATACAACCAGAATCCCTTGCTTCCATAACACCCAATATCATTGTAGACTCAAAGGATACTTGCAAAATCTTTTCTTGTTTTTTATAGGAACAGTCCTAGATATAATAAAAACAAATAAATAAAGAAATCTATGCCACTAATTTATACCCTAACTTTGAACCAAGCGGCTTATAAGAAGAAGTGGCTTTTATGCTGATTTTTCCTAACCGCCAGAGGGGGAAGTCCAAATTGGAAATAAAAAAATAAGAGGCTAATTTTCATTTAGCACAAGAACATGCTAGCACGAGGCACGACAGAGAACAAATGTCCCAAATTCACACATTTTGCAGAGCTTAAATAAATAGCAGAAGAATCCCAATCTTTCAGCAGAAGATCTTAATGCTGCGAGCCAACAAGCAAACGGGAGCTAGCATTCTTCATCCCTCCTCTAGGGGCGATATGTAGAGCTCCCCCTACAGGTTTGGTAGGAGACAGCTCAGCAGCTATAAGCGGCTTATAGCCCAGTGCGGCTTATATGTTAAGTTTCTAGTTAAAAAAAAAAATAAAAATGAGTGGACGCGGCTTATAGTGAGATGAGCGGAAAATATGGTATTAAAGCCTTTTTCCTTATTTAAGTGAAACAAACATCACAATCTGTTCAATTTCTTTTGAAAGTATTGCTTAAGTAAGAAACAAAAAGATAACCTCTTTGCTGATTGGTGAAGTCCCTCCTACTGCCAGCAATATAATCCCAGTGTCTGATAGAGTGCTGAAAGACAAGCTGATCTCCGTATTGATTGCAAAAGAAAGGCCATCCAGCTCCATGTATCCTGGTTTACTAAAGCTCACTGTGTAGAGTTTCTAAAAGACAGAAGCAAATCATATTGTATTGATTAACAATTCACAATTAAACATAGGTATTGAAAACTTAGGTATTGGGATACAACTTTTTAAAAACTAAATTGCTCATCTGCTAAAATCTCTTAATTGATCAAAATATGAATAAATCTTTACAATTTGACTGTTAAAGCAGCACCATGCCCACAGTAAAAAAATAATAAACTTAAAACCTTCAGATTCACATTCAAATAAAGAACTGACTTAAACACTCAACCTAGAATCTTTTTAACCTTTTACATATTCTGAGCAAGGAAAGGCTTTATATGCATGATGATACAGCTGCACAGAAGTCTTTGTGAAGGCTGCCTTACATGTGTGGGAGAAGCAAACACAAATAGTTAGACAGCTTGAACCAGCCTCTGCTTTCATGTCCTCCCTTAATAAGATCAAAAGGTGAATGGCAGAATCAATGATGTACTTACATGAAAACAGGAGAGCCTGGGTGAAAATGAAGCATTTAGAATGAAGCAGCGCTATAATTTAACTAATTTCAAGGCCTTTTTAAATCGCATTTCTTTAGCGTTATGTTGTTTTTTAACAAACTTTTTTTATGAGCTCAAGCATTTGTCTAACATATAAATATTGGTTGATGTTAATTAGATTTTAAAGTCAACAATAGGCCACAAACCAATGATTTATCTTACCTCGACATTACATCCTTTAGTAACCCCTGTATAATCAGTGCTGCTTAGAAGATTATATGGAGTTCTGGAGACTTCTATGTCTTTGAGACAACCTGCATACCTTTTCAGAATCACCTCTGACCTAAAAAGAAAAAAGCCATCATAGTAAATCAGAATATTAGTAAAGGAAATTAAATACTCATTGGGTTTTGACTCTAAGCAGTGAAGCTGGATTACTGCAGCCATGAAATGTTTGCATCATGATACAGCATCTGGAAGCCAACGAAAGTCTGAAAATCAAGAGTTTTCTGAATATGTTGTTTGTCCATACTGATTACGGTTGACACTATTTGGATTTAGGGGATTTTGACTTTAGGCATCAAAGTTTAGGTTACAGAAATAATAGGAAAGAAAAAAATTATTTTTCATGTCCTGCAGAATTTTCCTTTCCCAAGTACCAAGCGTACTATCAAAAGTAGTGTTCCTCTAACTTGTTATTTTCTGTTTTATCCACAAACTTTATGTATTTTACTTGAATTTCATGTGATAGGTGAAGGATCTGTGACCTTGGCTCCAAAGTCAATACACCTTCCACAATGGCTCTTAAAGAGATCTTGGTTAAAAATCCTTACAAACAAGCAATGCTTTTAATATAAATTTGCTTTCTCTAGTGGAAGGAGCATGATGTGCATATTTTTTTTTACATACTAAGAAATATGAGAATTCAGATTCATTCAGATTTTCTGGCGTCAGTATTTTGTTAAAATATGTTTTGCTGTATTTAAAGCAAAAAGGTGGATAAATTGGCACATATGCTTGATCTAAAAGATTAATTTGTATTTCAGAGTGTACAGTATGTTTATGGTTGCCATCCTGCTCCAATGTCAAGTGCTCCAGTACCACTCCTCTATTTAGCAACTTCCATTATTTATTTTTCCTGTCTGTCCTCCTTTTTGTCATTCTTGTCACTAGTCACACCTGAAGGTAATTCCTTGTACTCGATTTTGATGTCTTTTTTTTTTTTTTTTTTTACTAATAATAATAATAATAATATTAAAGCAATGGTGGTATCAGAATAAAGAAAATGTATACAAGTGCATATTGCTACCAATAAATCCCTGATTTTTCTTTTCTAACATTCACTTGGTCTCTGAATTTTTTTGTGGCGGTCAAGTTACTTCCCTCTCTCCCCAGAAAAGGGGGGGAGCCGTAACAATCTAACAAAAGATATCCCAATAATATACTCTCAGTTTTGTGGTTTTACCATGACAGGATGTGTCATCGATTTTTGCAAGGCACTACTTATTTTGGAACAAACATCAAATTCAGGCTAATGAAGGACAGAAAAGTGATTTGCTGAAAAGGCCTTTATCTGCAAGCCAACAAATCATATGCAGCAACTGTGCAGCACTTTCAGCATTGCTAGCAGCATGCAGTGATAAACTAGCTGGGAACTTTTTTCTCAATAAAATGATCTTATTTATCCATTTACCTGGCTGCCATGCTGTTAAAAAAGAACACAATAGACATTAGCAAACTTTGCAACTAATTTGAATCTTTGATTCCTGCAACTTCAGTAATTGAAATTTTGTAAGAGGAAAAACACTAGAAATAGTCAATCTGTCGAGCCGTTTTAGATCCCTCTTATGTTGAACAGAATAAACACCATTTTGCACATATGCATATATTCAAGTACCTGTAGTTTCCAATCGTTGGCAGACCACCAAAATATATTTTCTGATTTTCCTTCAGATTAAGACCAGTAGCCGAACCCTTGGATATGGCCACAATCTTTTCCTCAGTACCTTGGCTGATATCCACAACAATCACAACAGCTATAACAAGATGAATGAAAGGAGTTTTAGCAAAATAGTCCTCAACATTTCCTTATATATCACTCTTGATATTGTTATCTGGTCTGATGATATAAGGCTTACAAATTCCCAGCAGTACCTTGTTTTTTGTTCCTTGACATGGTGAGAGCTTTCCAGCGTCCATCATTGTGGCGGTTAGCTGATGTGGCACTACCAACTCCTGATCCAAGGTCAAAATTCACCCTCACCTTCCCTTCTAACAGCTCCAGAGATAGGAAGTCCTTCTGCAAAGAACATCAACATAAAAATAGCTGTAAGAGTCGGTTACTTTAACTGCATACAAAGAAAATAAAGCCTTTAAAGCACAATGTTATAATATTATTCGAACACATGCCAGGGTCTTTAGCGACACTTCATGCAACAGGCTACCAATAATGGGTTTTATTAGTATGCAGTGCAAGAAGTTGGGAATCTAGAAACTAACAGATATTCCAAACAGTCATTTGTGAAGCTCTTGCCCACACCAGTATTGCCATGAGATGTTTTGTTATACTGTGCAGCTCTACAATAAACCACCTACAGCGCCTTGCAAAAGTATTCAGCCCCCTTTAACTTTCTGACCTTTTGCCACATTTTAGGTTTCAAATGTAAAGATATACAATTTTTATTCTGTGTGAAGAATCAACAAGTGGGACACAATCATGAAGTGGAATGAAATTTATTGGATACTTTTTACCCTTTACTTTCAGTGCAGCAAACTCTTTCCAGAAGTTCAGTGAGGGTCTCTGAATGATCCATTGCTGACCTAAATGACTGACAGTGAAAAATAGAATCCATCTGTGTGTAACCAGGCCTCCGTGTGAATGCACCTGCACTGTGATCGTCTCAGAGGTCGGTTTAAGGCTCGGAGAGCATCATGAAGAACAGCAAACACACCAGGCAGGTCAGAGATACTGATTCAGAAAAGTTTAAAGCCGATTTGCATAAAGATATCTTTTCCAAGCTTTAAACATCCCAAAGAGCACTGTGCAAGTGATAATATTGAAATGGAAGGAGTATCAGACCAAATCTACAAAGACCTGGCCGTCCCTCTAAATCTTAAATTCAAACAAGTAGAAGACAGATCAGATATACGGCCAAGAGACCCATGATCCATCTAAGTGAACCGCAGAGATCTGAAGCTGAGGTGGGAGACTCTGTTCATAATACAACACAGATCTGGTCTTTATGGAAAAAAGCCATTTCTTAAAGATAGCCATAAAAATAATTGCTTAAAGTTTGCCACAAGTCACCTGGGAAACATGGCAAACATTTGAAAGAAGGTGCTCTGGTCAGATAAAACCAAACCAACACAGCTTATCACCCTGAACAAAATCCCCTCTGCCAAACATGGTGGTGGCAGTATCATGGTTTGGGCCTGCTGTTCTTCAGCAGCAACAGGGAAGATGGATGGAGCCAAATACAGGACCATTCTGGAAGAAAACCTGTTGGAGTCTGCAAAAGGCCTGAGACTTGGATGAAAATTATCTTCCAATGATCCAAAATATAAAGCAAAATCTACAATGGAATGGTTCACTAATAAACATATCCAGGAGTTAGAATGGCCTAGTCAAAGTACAAACCTGAACCCAATCGAGAATCTGTGGAAAGAACTAAAAACTGCTGTTCAAAAAGGCTCATCCAACCTCACTGAGCTTCAGCTGTTTTGCAAGAAAGAATGGCTAAAAAAATTAGTCTCTCGATGTACAAAACTGAGAGATGAACCCCAAGAGCCTTGGAGCTGTTTTCGCAGCAAAAGATGGGACTACAAATTATTAAATCAAGGAAGCTGAAAAACTTTGCACACCAATTTTTTTCAGTTTTTATTTGCTAAAAAAGTGTAAAACATCCAATACATTTTGTTTCACTTCATGATTGTATCCTGCTTGTTGTGATTCTTTACAAATAACTATAATTATAATAACTATAATTTTACATAATCTTTATTTTTAAATCCTGAAATGCAGAAAAAGATGGAAAATTTCTATTTCACAAACATACCATGTCTTCAGTGGCCAGGTACATGAGCAAAGCATCAGAGGAGAAAGTGCGGAACTTCAAGGTTATCGTGGAAACATTTGGGTTCCACCTTGTTGGTCGTCCAACTGCAGCATAGCCTTCCCCATCCAGCTGAACTGTCCCCTCACCATCGGTTCGCTGAGGACTAAAGAACAAAGCTGGATGCAATTTCTAATTTTTTCACCCACCTTCCAAAAAAGGCTTTACATATCAGAGATAGAAGGATGATAAGTAGAAGACTCCATTGTTTGGTAATTTACAAAATGTATTACAACAACTAAAAACAGTAAAAAAAACAAACATAAATTATATATTAGTTTGATATATATCCATTCGTTTACCTGACAACGCAACCTTTGCAGTCTCCCTGTCTGTCTCTGTAGTTCCACAAACCAATAGGTTTACCATCCAAGAAGGTCTCTCCCATGCAGCCCGTAAATGTTGATGTTTTCACTGCTTCTGCCTTCTGAAGGACAGAAAAAAAACAATAAATTGTTAAAAATGGTACAGCCAAATTACTGTATGTTCATATTAATGCCTTTTACCAACAAATACCTTTGCAGTGCTAAGAATTCCTCCAACAAACAGGTAGGCGTTCTGGTCAACGTCTAAGATGGTGTAAGCTGTGGGTGAGTTGGCACTGGCGGGTGTTGGCATCATGCCAGCCATAGGACCGTCCAAAGGATAGACTGATATGGTACCATTCAGACCATTACTGCAGAGCAAAACGAGGAGAAACATTAAAGGGGTTTGATAATAACCAGAAGTTCACTGATAAATGCAACACAAGTGTCTATGGAGGCATTGAGCTGAACCATATCTTTGCTTTCACGGTGGAGTCAACATAATACATGGTGCAGAAGAACATTTTAAAGACTGAAAAGTCTGCGATCCAATCAGTAAACACCTTTGGGAAGTCTTTCTGATGGAAAATGCATGAAGCAGGTGATACTCTTCCTTCATGTCAATGAGATTGTGTGCAAACAACAACGACACCATAGCTTATAGAGGGAGGGGAAAAATAGATTAGAGAAGATCTTTGAAATGATGTGCCAAAGGCTGACAGGACTAAACACTCTGGATTTCCCAGGTGTCAAAACAAGTTTTTTCTACACTGGCATTGGTAAGAAAATATTTTGAGTCGCTGCTGTTCTGGTCTCTGTTGCTATTGATCACTACTTGTTAAATAATGTGAGTGAGAGGTAAGGAAAGACAAAATATATTTTAGAAAATGTCGGCAGACATTCTGAAAGCAGAAAAACAGAATTGTTTTTATTTGACCTTCCTGTTAATGACATCTGTGATAATCTGATTAATTATTGTCTTATTATTATAGCTTGTTGAAAGTGAATAAAATTGGACTACATATGTTTTATAGCCAATATATCTACTAATAAAAGGACAATCACATATGCATCCCTGCAAGTTTCTTACCGAGACGCTTCTATCCGGTACCAATTACCGTCGTAGATTGTGTGATGGGGATATTCAACCCTTCCCACACCTGAACCCACATCCCAAAGGAAATTCACTTTCCCCTTGCGCATCTCCAGGGCCAAGAAATCAACCTGGGGTACAGAAGAAACATATTGAAGTCACGGTCAATAAAATATTATAGTGTCGGAATCTCAGGTTTCATGTCAATGAAAACAAATTAGCTGTTTGAAATTGATTATTACACAAACTGTTTTCCAATTGTCTGACTTGTTCAGGAAAATTATGAAACTGGTTTTATTTAGGGGAATGCAGTATGATGAGTCTATACGTAGGTTTAAAGCAGTATACAGTTTAAAACAGTAGTAAAGAACTTTAATTTTTGAGTGATTTTGGCTCCCTCCAGTGTTGTCTGAAGAAAGACAATGTTTCCCATGAGGACCTGCGTGATAAAGAACATAGTTTGATAAATTCCTGATCTCCCGGTCCCCTGCAGTTGGATTTAACTACATTTCTGTTTCCAGTGGCTGTGTGAAAGAAAAGGTATTGAATCTAACTGTGGCAAAACCTTGTCAGAGTGTAAGGGTGGCCAATCTACGAGGCATGCAGAATCATACTCTTCAGTCAGAAACCACAGGAGAGTGGACACTGAACCCAGTTGTTGTTGAGAGTATCCAGAAGTAGAATGATGTAGCAGAGGTGGACCTCTTTGCCTTAAGCGAAACAAAACATTATGTAACATGGTTTTCACTCTCACAATCTGACAGTCTGCTGGGACAGGATGCTGTGGATGCTGTGTGCACAAGCTACTCTTCTAGGATTGTTGGGCTCTTCGTCGGAGGAAGAAGGGTAGCATTTGGCACTCTTCTTCACTTGACTTTTGAAAGGCCAGACTCCTTATTAAATTCTTGTGAACGGGCAGTTGTAAAGATTTTTTTTTACGTGTATGTCACCTTTTTACCTGTCATTTTATGATATAACAGATGGAAGCTGTTTGGTGCAAAGGTCACAGGTTGGACCCATAGTGCTACCCTATGCCAAGGCTATTCAGATATTTAAAATAACCGCTGGAGGTCTTTTGCCTCCACTATTAAAGGTGTTTGTTTCTGTAACCCCTTCCTGACAAATCTTTGTGAATAGTTGGTCAGTGCACTCAGATTCTTTAGTGTGTCAGTTTTTGAACTGTGCTTTACATTTGAGGCACCTGAGGATTGCTTTTGTGCCCTCATGGAAACTCTCGAAGGTTTAATTATGTGCTCAGCAGGAACAGAGGGACTTCCACTTCCTGGACTGCAGTAAGAGGTGTACCTTTAGTGACATCTACATTTTAATAATAATAATAATAATAATACATTTTATTTAACAGCGCCTTTCTTGACACTCAAGGTCACTTTACAAATAATACAAAAAAAATAAATAAAAAGATGAAAATACAAAATACAGATACAGGAACATAAAAAACAAAAAAACAAAAAAACAATCATGGATAGGGAAAAGAGCAGTATATCACAAATAAGCGAGCTGGAACAGATGGGTTTTGAGTCTGGCTTTGAATAAGGGGAGAGAGTCAATACTGCGGAGGTCGGGAGGAAGTGAGTTCCAGAGCTGGGGAGCAGAGCGGCTGAAGGCTCTGCTCCCCATGGTGACAAGTCGAGCTGGGGGTACAGTGAGGTGGATGGAGGAGGAGGATCTAAGGGAGCGGGAGGAGGTGGCAGTGTGAAGGAGGTCTGACAGATATGGAGGAGCAAGGTTATGGATGGCTTTGAAAGTATAGAGAAGGATTTTAAATTGAATTCTGAATTGAACTGGGAGCCAATGGAGTTGGTGAAGAACAGGGGAAATATGATTTTAGCTACCTGGGCTTCATCCTTTACCCTTTCCCACTTCTACAGGAGGAATGTCACTGCTCCTCATGCAGTGGCTGTCATGGTGTTGTCTACCTGCACAGTTGACCACTGATATGTACACTGTGTGCAGAATTATTAGGCAAATTAGTATTTCGACCAGATCATCCTTTTCATACATGTTGTCCTACTCCAAGCTGTATAGGCTTGAAAGCCAACTACCAATTAAGTAAATCAGGAGGTGTGCATCTCTGTAATGAGAATGGGTGTGGCCTAATGACATCAACACCCTATATAAGGTGTGCTTAATTATTAGGCAACTTCCTTTCCTTTGGCAAAATGGGTCAGAAAAGAGATTTGACTCTGAAAAGTCAAAGATTGTCAGATGTCTTTCAGAGGGGTGCAGCAGTTTGGAAACTGCCAAGCTTTTGAAGGTGGATCATCGCAAAATCAAGCGGTTCATGGCAAATAGCCAACAGGGGCGCAAGAACTGTGTTGAAAAAAGAAGACGCAAAATAACTCCCAATGAATTAAGAAGGATCAAGCATGAAGCTGCCAGGAAGCCATTAGCCACCAGTTGTGCCATATTTTAGAGCTGCAACATGTCTGGAGTGCTGAGAAGCACAAGGTGCTCAATACTCAGGGACCTGGCCAAGGTAAGGAAAGCCGAAAAAAGACCAAATGTCAAGATTTGGCCAAGAAATATCTGAAGACTGATTTCTCCAAGGTGTTTTGGTCTGATGAAATGAGAGTGAGTCTTGATGGGCCAGATGGATGGGCACCAGGCGGGATCAGTAAAGGGCCACAAGCTCCTTATCGACTCAGATGCCAGCAAGGTGGAGGTGGGGTACTGGTATGGGCTGGTATCAAAGATGAGCTTGTGGGATCTTTTTGGGTTGATGATGGAATCAATATCAACTCCCAGACCTACTTCCAGTTTCTGGAAGACATTCAAGAAAAACATGATATTCATGCAGGACAATAATCCGTCACATGCATCAAAATACACCACAGCGTGGCTGGCCAGAAAAATTTTAAAAGGAGAAAAAAAGTAATGACATGGCCCCCTTGTTCACCTGATCTGAACCCCATGGAGAATCTTTGGTCCTTCATGAAATGTGAGATCTACAGGGAGGTAAAACAGTCCACCTCTCTGAACAGTGTCTGGGAGGCTGTGGTGGCTGCTGCACGCAATGTGGATCGCAAACGGATCAAGACACTGACAGAATCTATGGATGGAAGGTTTTCGAGCGTCATGGTGAAGAAAGGTAGCTATGAGATGGGTATATATTTGTTTTTTATTACGCTGCCTAATAATTCTGCACAGTAATATTTACCTGCACACACAGACATCCTCATAAAATGGCCAAATCTAAAAAAACACATCAACTTCCAAAAATATGAAACTTTGATATTAAGGAGTCTTCTGGGTTGATTGAGAACCCAATTGTGGCCCAATAATAAAAATAATCCTCAAAAACACAGTAGGGGTGGAACGGTTCACAAAATCCACGGTTCAGTTCGATTCACGGTTTCTGGTCACGGTTTTCGGTTCGATTCGATACATGTTGATTGTTACACCGAAATTCCATAAAAAATTATGAAATTAATGAAAAAATCCCCCCAAAAATAATGGATTGTAATTATTTTAAATGATCCGCGGAAACCCTGGATCATTTCCGTATGTTTTGCTGCTTTGAATTTAATCATCTGGCGCATGCTCTCTAACCTGACAACAGCCAGATGCATTTCTCGCTCATGTAGGCGGAGCGAGACATTCATCTGGCTGTTGTCAGGTTACATGCTCTCTACCATCTCCAAGGAACTCAGAGGGGAGCAGAGGAAGCCACAATGGGGGCTGTAGGCTTTGCTTTGAGCAGCCGGTCTGGAGCGCAGTGGGGCGGAGCGGGGGTTGCTGACGGAGTATGAGGGATTTCGGGGTTAGCATGACATGTTGCTGTTAGCATAAACAAAACGTGTTGCACAATGCTGGCACACTGTTGCACTTTTATCCACAACTTTCTTTCCGCTGTCATCGTAGGTCACTCTAAATGCAAAGCGCTCCCATACAGCAGACCTATAAAGTGCTGCTGGCGCGTCTTCCAACTCCAGTTCTTTCCCACTCGCCAGTCCGACACAATTCTCCACAACAACTGATTTTTTTCCCTGCTACACCCGGCTAAGCTACTTCGCTTCTTCTTCTTCTTTTTTACTACTGGCGGTTGGCTTTGGTCGGAGTACCGCCACCTTCTGCTCCAGAGTGTAATCGCTTCCTCTATGAGAAAAAGGAGCAGCGCATGAACCGAACGAAACACACGCGAACCGAACCGAGACAGTCGAACCGAACGATTCTGATGGTTTTCATAAATCGTCCCATCCCTAGCACACAGTGAAGTAAATGTGGACTCTTAAATTAATTACATTGTTATCAATGTGTCATCAAGAGGAAATAACTGTCCTGTCCTGTGTTAGGAGGAATTAAATAATATTTGGGTTATAAATGTAATCAAAGTTCTTTAACTTCAGGATGACCGCCACAGTTGCACGTAAGTCATGCGACTACATTCAGAAAAGTGCTAGTTGCAGCAGGTATACAAGCCTCCCACTGACATCACCCACAACACGTCCAGTGGTGTGACTTTGTTAAAATATATTTGTCACCTCTGTGCTGCACATATGTAGATAGCCAAGTGTTTAGTACGTCTCCTAGCGGTCATCCAGATTTCTTGGAACTTTGGTTAAATGCAGTACGCAACCCTCATTGGTTATGCAAGCAGATCGCAGACAACACAAATCTCACCGTCTTAAAGGATTATGTTTCCCTATGAATGGAGGAATTTGGAAACTTATCAGCATCCAACCATTTAATAGAAATGTATTTGTTGGAAATAAGATAGAAATACTAACCAGGGTCCCAACTTTTATGTGTTACCCATCAAACAGAACCAATTGTAGCATTTATCCTGGAGATAAATGTAAAAGAGAATGATAAAGGGATTTCGCACCCAGCTCAGGTCTATTTCAAGATTACAAAAGCTGAAGTTTTCTCTAGTGGCCCCTTTAACTGGATTTTCCACAGGATTTATTTGTATTTTGAATAACAACCCTATCACTTATGTATGAGTTTAAAAAAAAAAATTGATATGTGACTTCTGAGCATGCAGCCTCTTCTGCCGTCTTTGAACTGCAAAAAATAATTATTCATATCACCTTATGGACAATTAGATATTATCAGTGAGTCGCATTGGAAAACACAAATCACACAAACACACAAGTGAACACACTTTCTTTCTAGTCTCTCTAGAGTACAGGCGATTATTCATTAGCAGAGATCACAGAGAAACATTATTATTCAACTTGCATTCAATATTAGTAAAAATGTAAGACGTGAACAAAAAACACACACTGAATTATTATTTATACTCAATTAGAATATCCATGAGAGACCCAAACACATATGTGTTTGAGACGCCCCCTTCAGATGAAGCAGAGCAAAGATTCCTCTGGGGAAATCAGGGAAAAGCTGAGAGTAACACAAGCTTGTTGTTAATTGCTGCTCCACTCCAACACACCCATACACACACCCACGCACACACAGAAATACACTGCACACACTTAGGGACTATCACTAGTACCTTTAAAACAGTGCTGTGTTATATTTTAAGGGTTCTAGGGGGTATGTGTCAAGATATATTAATTATTCTCACATTAGATAAATCACAAAGGGATTAGATGTAAGCTGAGCTCTGGTATTTCTTTTTCAAGTTTAAGACATGACTTGTTTTTGTCTTTTTATATACATGTTTTTGTGTTTGCAAAAAAAAAGAACACATAAAAACCCCCAGACATTTTCAAGAGTGATACATATACAGCAAAAACTTATGCTTATAACATAAACCTACATTAATCACATCTAAATACTGGGTACCGTATAATCTGGAACTTTAGACAATGTGTTAGAAATAGATACATTAGTGCATTTTCAAACCATTAAAAATAATTTTACTTACATATTTGGCAGATCCAAGGTAAAAAAGGAGGTTATCCGGTGTGGTGGTTTTAACATGAAGGATGATAGTATTGTACCTTCCTTTTCTGATATCAGGGCGATAACTACGGAGACAGTCACCACCTGATGAAACAGAAACTTTGATCTAGAAAACAGGAAACAAGGAGTAATTTTTTTTTTCTTTAAGGATTTTTTGTTGACAATCTGAAAAACCTTTAAGTAAGAGAAAAACAAATAAAATCAAAGTCAATATAAAGAAGCGGATTTGAGGGTGGTTCTCCATTTTTATTGTAATTTCTTTAAATGAGAGGGTATCATTTGATTCCTTGCAAAAAAACATGTATATAGCTTGTAGCTCGTCTAACTTCAAGGTTCAGTTTATAAAACACATGATCGTACATAAGACTTATTGCAAACATTTATGTTATGGCCACGCTGGTTCGTGGGGACTCACGCTCCACATGTGCATAAGAAAAAAACTGTCTCAAAGGAATAATAATTTCTCAATAAAATTCTTTTTCCTCACTGATTGACCACAATAACATGGTGAATGTGAAAATAACATACTGAATTTGCTTGCTTTCTGGCCTGGTTGATCAGTTCCTTTATTTGTGAGATGTTCCGCCTCAAATTGTCTTGAAGCTTTTTAATTGGTTGCAGCTTCTCCAGCAGCCTGTCGGCTTCATCCTCCAAATCCTTCACTTTAGCTCCTGCAGCATGGACTAAGAGTAGAGAGAGATGGAGGAAAAGGAGTAAAAACGATGGCACAATACTTCAAAACTACCACAGCTGAAAGTCAAAAGCTTGCAGGAAAGAAGAATAAGAAGAAAGAAGAAAGAATACGAAGATAAGTGAATCATAAGAGAGCCAAAGAAATTAGTGTAGCTTAGCATTCAAAGAGAAATACTTTAATTTGACAGTGTAGACTGTGTAAGAGAGTAATAGAAAGAACTTTAAAAATTGGAAAGGCGTTATAAGCCTTGCGATGAGCCGAGATTTCATGCTCATTTGAATGGAGGCATTAATAGCAGCAAATATAGGGTACAGATACTAAAGACAGCCAAAGAATTAGTGTATGGTGCATCAATACAGCTTTGTAAATCTGTTTAAATTCCTATTAACTGTTAAGAAGACATAACAGATTGACATATGATGTTGACAACTGAAATTTTGGATTTTCTTTTTGTGAAAAACAGCAGATTCGAGGTCTAAAATCCCAAAATACACTTTTATTGAGTATTGGTGCACCAAATACGACATTAAATTTTTTTATCCATTAAGGTAAGTGAAATATACATACTGATTGCTGTGGGGATTGAAAAAAGAGAAACAAGAAGAAATATATCAAAATTTAGGTAAATTTACCAGTTAAAGTTTATTAAAAAGTGTTTACTTGTATTTAGTTTTTAATTATAGCAAATATAAATTAACCCAGTTAAAAATCAAGCATATATAATTGAATGATTTGTGAGTTAATGCAGATAATCAATGATAATGCACTTTACTGTTTTTTTCAGGGTCCTGGATCATCTGATTGGCTGCGTCAACAGTGTCTTCCAACTCGCTGCAGTTCAGCTGCAGGTTTCCAAGGCGGAGGTTCAGATCTGCAAGGCGCTCTAGGACGTCTATTGCTGTAACATTGGCATCAGCTGCTACTGCTTTTGTAGCTGCTAATTTATATGATGTATCTGTGAAAAAAGCAATGCACAAACATCAATTAACAAGTACCATAGCTTTAAAGGATGGCTATAATTTAAATTTCTTTCAAGAAGACGTGCAACTTTTTGCTTGAATAAAACCTGATTACTACTTTGTCTTTAAATCTAACCTGACAGTTGTGTTCAACCTGTATTTCAACTGTTAATTCATAACAGCAAACAAGGGATGTTACAATTCCAATAACACAATCAGGGTAAGAAAGAGGGAATAAAAAAAAAGGCTGCTATCAGGGTGCCAGTTATAGCTACGTATACATTTCATGCATGCAAAAAATCTTACAGCAGACGAGAATCATAGAAAAGATGTACATCTCTACTTCAGATGTAACCAACCAATGTTAGTGTATTTGCAAAGCTCTTCACAGTGCCATGCACATTATTTTTCTGCGCTGAGAAATCAGAACATCACCCAAAAGTCCTACAATCCAGATAATGACTACACTAACAGATAAACTGCTTCGGCTGCTGCAGACTAACCTTTGACCTACATTTAAAGTGAGTGTTGGTGAGTCACAAAGAGCAATACTAAAGCATTAGTCATTTTACAGACATTTAAAGCAAACAAAGTTAACTAAAGAGAAGAGTGCAACTTCTTCACTGTAGGCTTTTCTCTACAAACTGGTAGCTGTAAAGAAATGGGTTACCATCTATAGCATGGACACTATAAAACATTAAAATGGTAAATAAAATGTGCACCTTGGCTATGACACCAATATAGACTAAGCAATATAGAGGAAATGTGTCATAATTTCAGTACATTTTAAAGCTTACTTAACAGATCTAAATAATCATCTTTATAAAGATATTTGTTCCAAACTACAATATAATTTAAAAGCCTATTTATTACACTAATTGATTTATATGCCGTCAGGCAAGCCTTTTATGACTGAGGATTGAGCAATCTTACCATTGGGCATGGCGTTGAGTGTAGCCAGGGTTCCATTAACAGCAGTCAGAAGGCCTTTGGTTTTGTCTCTCGCTGCTTTAACTCTCCCCTTCAGTCCCGCCACATTGTCTGCATTTTCTAAACACAAAGTAAATAAGGATATGTCAAGCTCTGTCATACTGGGAGATCTTCTCTTTCCATTTAATGAACAATATTATTTGCATCAAATTTACAGAGGAAAACAGACTTTCGTAAAGACCATTAACATGTTGTAAAAATAAAATGGAGACACTGTTGAGGTAGTTTACTTTACAGTACTATTGATTTTATGGAGACACTATAAATTCAACAGTTTGACAGGCCAAGGGTCATAAGAGAAAAAGTGTCTACGAAGTGTATGAGAAGAAAAGAAAGGCCTCAGAAAAGGCAGATATATTCAAGAATGCTTTGCGCAGAGAGCTCTCGTCACAAAGCATTATGTGGCAGCAGCGACTAATAAAGATGGTGAAGGGACCGCGCAGTTGACCAACGGGGAAGTGATCATCTGTTTTTGAACGGTAAGTAGAGTGAGTTCACTATAAAGTCCCCACTCTATATATTGCTTGTATGAGCTATGAGAAGAGCAACTTTTAAACAGAGCGTGCACGAGGAGAAATAGGCTCGTGCATGCTCTCGCACGTGCATTTTTGTGTAATGTGGAGATGTGGATAGGCGAGTCTTCGAGAAAATCATCCAAAATACCTTTAAAATAGGACTTTAATGGCTTAAATGCCTAACTAATAACCTAATTTGTTAATAAAAAGGTGAGAAACTTGTTAATAAATAATATTGCTGTTGCAATGTTTAAAAGATTATTTTGTGTGTCCAAGTGACACTGGTAAAATCTAAAACAAAAGGACCTACATGTGTTTATAATCCAAGTCCAGTAGACATTATTGTAAAAAGCCAGTACCTTTAACATCATTCTGAAGTTGTTTGGCTTTGTTCAGCAGTATTTGACTCTTCTGGAGGGCAATTTGAGCCGCTTCCTTTACTGGAACATCTGGACCCAAAACCTGAAAAAGCAGCCATGCAAAATCTGTCACTTAACGTCAAATTCAGCACAAAAAGAGGACAGACAGTTTTCTATTTTTCTATCTATTCTATCAATCTTAAAACTTGAAATTCATCATTACTGAAATTTTAAGAATATTTTAGACAAAAAATAAGAACAAAATACACTATGATCTGGATATAATCACAAACAAAGAGTCAAGCCAACATTTCCTTTCAGGATACAGTACATGCTTGGACAAATATTTATTATATTGAGAGGACACACCTTAAGGACCTCGATGATTTGATGTAATACTTATAGTCATTTAAGGTCTGTATATTTCAATTGTATTAAAAGTATGAGTGATAAAATCTAATTAAGAAATCAATTTCAGACACAAATAAAACCAAAATGACCATAAAACATGGAAAAAAGAATTTTAAATGTACTGAAAAGATAACGTTTCTGAAGTCTTACCAGTGACAGAGCCTCATTTGCATTCTGTTTGGCTGCCTTTGCCTCTTTCTCTGCTGCATCAATATTGGCTTTAATATTACTATAAGCATGGACAGCAGCAGTTGCATTGAAAGACAGGTTTTTAGCTTCAGCCAAAATGCTATGAGGTAAAGAGTAAGAGAGAAGGGGAAATAAAAAGAAGAAAAATAAAAAAAATTTATCAACCCTTATGCATTTTTCAATCAAAATAAAATGTATGCTTTCGTAATAATGGCGAGAAACAACTCTTAAATCTTAAAATTTCTTCAAATTTAAAAATTTTGAAAACGGGAGTATAATGAAAGTACAAAAATAAAATAATTTTCCTCTTTAGGATATGTCAGTACTTTACATAGAAAAAACCCTTTTTAATACAAGCTTTCAAATACAGAAAAAAAAAAAAAAAACATCCGTTATTTACATAATATTATTACATGATTTCCTTTCCACTGTGCAGCTGACGGCTCCATTACTACATGGTAAAACAGAGCTTTTTTAGTACTGTATTCACCCGTCTAAAATGGCAGCAGACTCATTCAGCTGTTTGGCATGTTCCTCTGCTTCGCCGACTTTTTCTGCAACGCTACCATCACTCAAGCCATCAGCAAGTCCCTGAACTTTGTCATCCAGCTGAGCATGAAGAGGATCAAGATCTCTTTCCATCCCCTCTAACTCCTACAAATGGAGATCATAGGCTTACATTTAAATATTTTTAACAAAATAAAATGACTTAATTTGTTCTCAACAAACCCAGGTCAAAATCAACAACAATAAACCTTTTTTTTGGTACCTCAAGTTCCTTGTTGATGTTGTCAGAAAGCTGATTTGCCTCATCTAGTAAATTATTTCCTTCTCCAAGGATCTTTTGTGCGTCTTGTTTCACACCGCTGACTGCATCTCGCTTTTTCTGCAAAAATACAAAGTAATACATTTCAGCAGAAATACACTTAATTAAAATCTTTAAAAATAATTTTTTAAAGAGCCACTTTGCCTCCTAATCTTTATTTTTAGAAAAAACTTTTCTATTCGAAAAACTAAATGAACTCCATGTCATCATTTTCATTGGAAATTCTAGAAATTAAAAAAATTATTTAGGGGTTGTGCTTTGGTAGCGCAGTGGTTACCGCACACGGCCCATGTATGGAAGCCTTAGTCCTTGACGCGCCTGTGGTCATTTCCCGCATGTCTCTTTCTCTTATACCCTCTTTTCTGTCAGCCTACTGTCCATTAAAAAACAAGCCACTAGTGCTGCAAAAAATAAAATAAAAAAAATAATTTAGTCACTTTGAATAGTCAATTTAATAGTGTTTTTGGCCTTGTATCCCCCTCTACATCCCTTCCTATTTAGTTTTACACTTACTAGCAATCTATTGTAAAAAGTCTATTCTTCTCATATATTCATGAATAAAAATTATAAAGATAACAGAAAAGCACACATTATTTTTAGTATCTATACATTTCAATCTGAAAAACTCAGACGAAGAGAAAAGACAATTAGGAGAAATTTATTGATACAATTACTTTGTCTTTGGCGCTTAAACCTCGGCAGGAAACATAGCGCTTAATTTTGATAGATATGCATAAACAGAAGCAAAGAATAGGGCTGTTTCCCACCCAAACCTGAAACTGGTGATGGAGTGGAGATAGATGAAGTTGGTCAGTCTGTAGACTGCGATACTAGAGCTGATACTAGAGCTTTACTTAGGGACCTGGAAGATTGAAGTCCAGTTGGATAATACAGGTTAAGAGAACCTGTCCATGATAAGCAAGCATGAAGCAACAGTGGAGAGGAAAAACTCCCCGTTGGGAAGAAACCTTTGGCAGAACCAGGCTCATCATGGCGGTCTTCTGCCGGGCTGGTTGAGATGAGAAAGGGTAAGAGTCCGGGAGGAATGACACTCTGATGAAGCTTTAGCTACGATGGTGGAGGAGGGGCTGGAGGTGGGTTAAAATGGGGTCATCTGAATGAAGTCACAGCGCAGCCACTGCCTGCACACAGGACCAGACAAATGCATATAGGAGGCCTTTTAAGATGAACTTTGGATGCTGATTGGCTTTCAGGGAGGTGTGGCTCAAAGCTGATTGGCTGTGTCGCAGGTGGATGTAGGAGAGCAATCATATTCTTCAGTTGAACTTCCACCTAGGCTCCATTTTATGCAGAGAAAAATATTTATACCTTTGTGTATGACTTGCGCGAGCTACTGATAATACTGGGCAATTTAAAGTTATACAGCGGTTCAGACATTGGGGTTATTTTATTTTCCTTCCGATGGACTGGCGACCTTTCCAGGGTATACCCCGCTTCTCGCCTGTAGACAGCTGGAGATAAGCACCAGCATCCCTCATGACGCTGCTTGGGATAAGCGTGACAGAAGATGGATGGATGGATGTGTTTTTTATTTATTATTATTAATTTATTATTAATCTGAAGTGGAAACATTATAAAGCCAATTAAAGATGAGGAACAAGCTTTTTAGTTGTTAGAGAAACCAAGCAGATTGTTTCAGCGGCAGGTCCAGTATGCACATCCGAAAAGAAAGCCTATTCTTCTGAGGTAATGTCCCTGTTAAACCTAATATAACTTTAAAATTTATACTGCAAAGCCTGACAGCTGGTGGAGTAAAAATACTATGACTGCCTTCTAATATAGATTTATTTTGGAGTCCATTATCTTGATTGTAACTTTAGAGAGAGAGAATTCACTGAAAATTCTGGCAAAATAAAACTGCATCCTCAGCCTTTAATCATAACTGGAAATAATGATGATTCTTGAGTTGTGCTGCACCTGTAGAAGAGTAAGGTTGGCTTTGTTGTTCTCTGCCAGTG